ACATCTGTTATTGTCTGATTCTTAAGAAAAAAGTGGCTGAGCAGAGGATAATGAAATCAAAGGCCAACACACACAGTCAACAAGCCCCTGGTAAGAAACACACTGTGTCAATATTAATCTCCCTGACAGAAAGTCGAAATGTGGCATCTGTCACACATCATCTTCCCTCTCTGCTGTCTTTCTGCGGAGTGGAAAAAGATGGAGGGGACGTGGTTTTGGTGGGAGTGTTGGAAATTGAGGACATGGACCGGAAAGGACAAAGGATTTAGGGATTTACGAGAAATACTTTGTATGTTTTTATTGTGTCCTAGCATTTGGTATGGCATGCCTTTGGACATTCAAGCCTTTAGTTAAATAAAAGCACATTTCAAGGACAGTTGTACGCCATGGCTTGTCATGGGCACTTACATTAAAACATAATTTTAACATAAGTACTTGAAAGACAAACACACACAAAGATAATCTTCCTTAACAGTTAGAGAACTGGACTAACAATATGTGTTTAACAATAATGCTAAAAATATATAAGATGCATTTTTAATGTCCCTCTTGACCAATCTCTTCGTCTAAAACTTGAGTCAATAATCAATACACGGTAACTACTGTATGTACCCGAGTAATCAAATACCTCTTGTGTATTTCCCTTCGGCTGCAGCTTGTTATGATACTACTCCTTTTGTTGTGGAAATCTGTATAACACGGCAACGACCGATACAACATTATTGATTCATGTTATAGCAAAGGTAAATGCCTTTCGATTAATGTGAGGTAATCTGGTGCATTTGGGCAAATAATAGCAGTTGTTGTATTAGTTTTACATCTCATCCATAATTATCATGTCAAGTGTTTTGTTTAGACTGAGATATTTTCAACACGAACAAAAAGGCCTGGCTTTTCTATATTATCAAAAACCACCAAGGAATTGATCCCACTAACTTATCTCTGTAGCCAACGCACGGCATCGTACCTCTATATGTCATTGATGTAAAAGCTATTAAAAACTAAAACAGTGAACTACACCTTTGACCTCTGTGAAAGGTAATTTATTACAATTGACACTGCAGTTAATTTTGAGCCATTCCCAAGTGAACTGACTTGCTATTGTAAAAAAACTCACTATTGAACCGTATTTGTGGCTGAAAATAGTCCCCAATAAATCATTTGTCTTGTGGCATCGTTTGCTTATGATTTTCAAATGTTATCTTCAGTAGGAGTGAATGGGCTCTTTGCCAGTGAGTGCAACTCTCAGCCCAAAAGTTTAGAGATGACATTGTTAGTTTTTCTGTAACTCTAACAATATAGCGTTTAAAAATAACTCAAGTTTAGACAACAAAGACATTTTCGCACCTCATGGCCTAACTGCCACTAAAACTACTCCAGTCATGAAAACAGTGACATGACCTCCAGATTCAAACAGTGCATATTCAAGGTTAAAATGTGAGAAGCAACAAGTCGGTGAGGGATGAGCTTCTGACTGGAGGGCAGCAAAACTAATGCTGCTCCCATAATCAAATGCTTAAGGGCAGTCATCACAACACAAGATCTCTTGGTGATGAGATATAAAATGTCCTCCGATATTTCATCAGCTTTCCCATGCTTGAGGTTTCTCCTCCCCATGCACTTCCTCTATCCTTTATTTATCCTTCAATCATCCGGGACTCTCTTCTCCTTTTCAGCCCGTTATCTCTTTCTCCCACTCGTTTCACCCAGAACACTTTCCTTTCTTTCATCCTTTTTTCCCATCTGCTTCCTATTCCTCCCACCTCTCTTCTTCCTCCGCTTCATCCCTCCCTCCCTCCCTCCCTCTCGGTCTTTTGGACATGTCTCTTAGTCCTTTCTGTTTCCCTCCACCTCCACCATCCCCTCTTTTCCCCCTCTTTCCCCTGTGATGAATGAGTCTGTCTGCTGGGTGCAGTTCATATTTACTGAGCAGGGGAGCGCACACTGTCAGTCTCCGTCGCCCTCCACATCTCTATCTCTGCACTAAGGAGACGGAGGGGGCAAGAGGTTAGAGTGGGATGAAAGGAGGAGGGATGCCGTGGTCAAGAGATCCTCTCGGGCAGTCGCCACGATAGCGACCGACTTGGTGGAAAACACGTAGCGTAGTTTCTCAGTGCAAGCATTACAAGGTGGTTGAGGGAGAGAGAAATCTTCCTCACCTCTTGACCAACCTGTCAATGTGGTGATACTAATGGGGAATAAACAGCATCTTTGTATCCTTTATGTGTAACTCGGCAGCCCACTCTCAGCACTCAACATTTTAATGGCGTTTTCTCTCTCCTTCCTTTGTGTGAGCTATGCTTTTAGGCACATTTGGACTTGAGAGGGAGAGAAGTAAGAGCCGCTACCAGCTGCAGCTTACCAAAGGCCCACAAAATACCCAGTTTCATCTACGCCCACACACACCAGTGTGTTGCGGGGAGTCAAACGGTGTGTTTTGACCCGTGTTCTGACCCCTTCATGAATAAGAGGAGTGGATGTGGGCCTGCCGGAGCCCAAAGGGACAGGCCAAGAGCCGCTGCAAAGCCCTGCAGAGCCACCATCTCTTCCCACACACTGACCTCCGAGGCCAGCCAACACCAAAACCACCGCAGCGTGACGACACCGGTGACACCCAGCGCCAACGCACACAATGTGTTCCTCTGCCAAATTGACAAAATATAGACCGTAAATACAAGGAAAATTGGATAGCTCAAATTACATCACAAAAAGAAAATCCCCTCAACTGGACTTTATAAGATTCAATATGGGGTGATTCAATTCTCAGGCGGCAAGCTAAAACACTGCAGACTGTCTGTCAAAGGGGACAGATTGAAAATGTTTTTTTGCCGGTTGGCTCTAGGACAGGGAAGGGCTAAGTAAATGTAAGATTTTATGTTTTCGATTTGCGGATGATTTGCAGCAGACTCAGGCATCGTAGTGCATCTATATCGGAGATGATTAAACATTATGTCACTGTAAATATTCATATCATGTAGCTGTATGTCCGAATATAAGGAGGAGAGTGAAAGAGAATCAGGGGAAAATAGCAGCAGGAGAGGAAAAAGAGTAGAACGCTGAAAGAAGGGAAGGAAAGCATCATGCTATAATCATCTGAATATTAGGGAAAATTGGACACGGGGAAAAGGCGAAAATTGGATATGGGAAAGATTTCAGAGGAGCAGAGAGAAAAGCATCAAATGTGAAAACAATGGCCGGTATCAAAACGGATGGGACCAAATGTAGCCTCCTCTGGATAAATCACTGCTGTAAAATATCCTTTAGGAGGTTCTGAAAGCCATCGTCCGCAGACAAATGACGGGGTCAGAGGTCGTACACAGGGAGCACTATCAGCTGGGACAACACTGTCTATGATGGAGGAGGTATGATGGAGGCATTACAAAAGGGACAAAAGAGACCTTTTCTATATGCAATGCTGACCACAGGCTCATTCCACATCATAGTTCTAACAAATTGGCAAAAAACTTCTGAGCGGGAGGCATTTCCTGAGCTCGCCTATTCCCCGAAGCATCCTTTCCACAGCTATCCATTTCCCCCTGGTGCCTCAAGAGAGGAACTGCCGCTGCTTCGCCGAGGCCTTTCAGGGAGAATTCACCCGCTCTGAGGCTGATGGAGGCCTCAAACTGTGATGCATCCGGCTATCACCCGCCACACGATGAGACACGCGCGCACGCAGCACGGAAGGGGTAAACAGTAACACCTTTATTTATCAGGATGCATTCTCTGTGTTTGTGTGCTGCAGTATCCCCCTCCCCATCCTCCACCACGGATCATATTTGTCCATCTGCCTGCCACGCCGATGGAACGGTCCAAAAACGGCTGCTGTGCAATCTATCTCAATTTTCCAAATCTATTAACTTTCTTTGTGTGGCCTGCCTCTCCCCGAGCCCGATCTTTAAAAACCGTGGTTGTTCAACAATTATGATAACTGCAACAGGGGGAATTAGAGAATCCAGCCATTCATCTCTCTGCCCCTCCTCCGCACAGACATGACGCGGCTAAATGAAAAATGGACACGCTTTAAGAAGTATTGATTCCAGCTTTAAACAAAGGTACAGTCAATATTATTTACTCCTAAATATATCTTTGTTATCTGCGCTGGAGTCGTAGTTACTGCTCTGTCCTCGTAATTGCGGACATAAAAATAATAGACCAATTCCCACCGAATTGACCGAGACAGGTCTGGTTGTGGCCCTCGTCCTAGTGATGCATATCCTGGGTGTAAACGAATGTGCGGGGAAGATCTTCCTCTGATGAAAGCCCTGCTCGAGACAGATATATATTCCGATGCAAACGGGGGATGAAATGCAATGCGAATTTAAAAAAAGAAACCATTACAATATATTTCAACGGTAATCAGAAACACTATAAAGGCAATCATCTTCTTTCCATTATTGTTTTTCATGCAGTATCACAAAAAAATGGTTTTCCTGCCTCAGAGGTTTGTCATGTATAGATTTTCTTGTTTCTTTTCTCCTCGGGCTTCTGCTCTCATGTGAAAAACACAAGATATTTTGTTGGTAGCTATATATTATTTATTTGTGTCATGCCATGCTTCTTCCTGTTAAATCAGGACTTAACCTATATTAGTTTATCTTTTAATGGATCATGGATCAACTCATAATTTTACATTTTCTGATGAACTCTGTACAATTAAAGCTTTCCAAAGATCTTGGACATTATGGACTATTAGCTGCATCAAAGTCTGGAAAGTACTAATGCATTCTGGTCGTTTAATTACTCGAACAGTGGTTCTTTAACTGTGTACGACTGCATTTTGGGACAACCATACATCATTGATGCAATATGAAACTGTACAAAACAATATGAATGACATTGTATTCCCCTGCAGAGCCGTGGTTAGCCTCTTTCCCAGCTAGATTTGCATGATGTGTGTGTTGTTGTTTTACAAAATGTCTAATTAATTCTTGATTTCTTTTGTTAATTAATATATTAATGAGTAATATATTAATCTATAACATTTTATTTGGCATTGGATGTATACAGTTTACAGAATAAAACAAGTGATAACAATTATAGAAGCACATTTGCATGGATATGAATACAGGTGTTAGCAGATTCATGCATGTGTGCCTTGGGGACAACATTTTCAAAAGTCACTTTACTAGAGAGTACTTTGAGGACTGGTATCTAGAGGACCAAGTATACCATAGTTATAATCCCGGTGATGATGGTTGACAGGAAGCCAGAGTCTGAAGGATTTGTGCAGCACGGACAAATATTCAACTCCTGCAGAGACAAATCTGGGGAGAGAAGAAAGTTTAATTAGTAAACAATTTGGTGTAAAGTGACCGTGACAGAATTTAAAGGCAGGTAATAATGAATGTATATATTATTAAATTCCAATTAGAGAAGACATCCTACTAGCCTTTCCAAAAAGTACACACAGCATTTATCCATGTTTGGCTGGTCGCTTTCATTTGACCTATGATTATTTATAAGTAGACACACATAAGTGCACTAGGAAAATACAATTTGAATCTTGGTACAGTATACTGCATATTTCTTCTTACCATTTCCTATTATTAATGCCAATGACTTGTATGTGTACAGGAAAGCATGTTGGTGTCATATTTTATATTCCTAGTACTGAATTTGACAACTTTTGACATCCTATTAAAGAGCGTGGAACATTTAATTTGTATTAAAAAAGAACCGCACTAAGCTGATGTAAGTCCTATCAGATCGATCTAAGGGTGTACAAGTTAACTATGAAATTAATCCTGAATGTCCTGTATGTGGAACTTGCATTTTGCTACTATATAATAATAATAAGTATTTATATAGTGCTTTTCCTGGTGCTACTTCTGTGTTCTCTCTTTTTTTCCCTTTTGTACACTGTAACATCTACCATGGGAAGATTTTTCTAAAAAATGTAGTCTACTCAGTCAAACGACTTCTTAAAAAGTTAAGCATATCACCAGAAAATAAATCACATCACCCAACCGTCCACATGCTAAATCTCCACTGTAAGAACTTTCCCCTGACCTCTTTTAAGGACACCACAACTCAACTTCTCTGTCTACAAAACATACTTAATTTAGATTTTGTCAAATTGTTCATGGATGTTGATTAAACAAGTCAGGAAAGGTATTTACGGGGAACAACAGTTGGTATAATGTCTATCTGGTTTCATTTATGTTAGCAGCAGGATAACCTAATGTGCCTTGTAGCCATGACCAAAATAGTTTTATGCATGCAGGGGATAATAGACTGCTTCAGCAGCAAGTCAAGCAAAAAAATAAGCATAATTTGTTTATTTGCCTGCCACAGGGTAGTCTTTTATTAACTTAGATCTTATTCGGTGAAGGAACAATGCAGTGCAGTTATTAAAACAACACATTCAAAATGTAGTAACCGTAATCACATTATTTAGTTGGTTGTTGTGTTTTTAACAAAGTAGACATCAATGTACGGTTCAATTGTCAATTAGAATGTAATCATATCCTCAAAAGAAATCTGTACTAGTCCGATCAATAAATACATATTCCAATGAGAAAGGCTTTAAATATTTTTGTCTACTGATTAATGGACACTTCCCCCCCCCCCCCTTTATTATATATTTAGTTGTTGTCTTTGTACTGTTTTGTTATTATTTATTTTTGTTTTGTCCTGTTAGTCTGTACAACCCTCTCTTACATTTTGGCTACATGGTCTGTTTTGGTTATAATTTGTGGTTTGAATATTGTACGCCTTCAAGTGAAGATCTTCTATGTGTGGCTTGTCAATTGATGTTCAATAGTAGAGACTAAGATGAACACTGGTATCTTTGAACTGTTCAATCTAACCTATCAATGCACCAAATGTCTTTTCTATGTGTCTTCAATACAAATATATTTAGAAAAGAAAAAAGAGGCTTTAAATAAAGCATCTCGCTGCAGTGAGGAGGATTAGTCAAAGATCAGATGTGAGGTGGCTTACTTGTGTTGCTTTCCTCTGCCTCGGCTGCTGGTGTGTCCTCGTAGTGTCCAGTTAAGCGTGGCTCAGTCTCTCCCTCCACAAATGCCTCCAGGCCTTCAAATTCCCAATTCCCAAACTTTGTTACATGGCAGATTTCACGTGTCTCAGGGTCTGCTGGCTCCTCTTCCACTTGTTTACAGTACAAATCAGTGCAGCTCATACTCCCCTGTTCATGTTTCAACTCTCCACACTGTCCAGTGCAGAAAATAGGGCGTCCTTGTTTTCTTTTCGCAGATCTGATAATGTTCTAAATAAGGGACAATTCATTTTGTTTTTTAGGGCACATTCCTTCAGAGTGATGCTTTAGTTTTAGGGGTTCCTCTTCTCTTTCTGGGGACAGTCAATTATAGTTTGTACATCTTGGATTGTGTCCTCATCCCGTTATGGTTCAGTCTTTTTAGGGCAAACTGGTTCCCATATGAAAGAGTGGATCTTACTCTTACATACCTCTGTCTTCGGTGTGTGCAGTCTTTTGAGGATGTTGAATTCCCGTTTTAGCAGACTGACTCATCTTAGCAGACTGACTCATCTTAGCTGCTGCCTTACTCTTCAGTGGAGAGGAAATCTATAGACCTGTAGATAAGAGAAAGCATAAGTCATGAACAAGAAGCCAAAGCACTTAGTATTAAGCAAAAAGGAACAAAAGGCAATTTGTTATTTTACCCATTTACAAGCTGAAAGCACACTATATTATGAAAATGTGTATTTACAATGTGAATTAAGCAATAGCTTAAACTGCATATTATCTGTCAGTGTAATGTAAATATGTATTAACTTGGCTGTTTAACTTTTGTGCAAACAAGCTGGGAATAAAACACAATCTTTCAAAAGCAACAGTAGGCCAATCTTATAAAAAATATCATTATGTAAAATATGCGGAAACTGTCACTAGATCGTCATACGTCAGTAATGTAAGAAGTAGACGGAGTAAAGTACCAACTGCAGCTTTGATGTGCATCTAGCCACTAGAGGTCTCTGTATCTGAGGTTATATCCTTTCTGTAAAGAAAATATAGACTTGGTATTGCTGAGATCATTCTCCAAATGAATATGTTACACTATGTTTGCAGCTATGAAAGCCATTCTCCCATAAGTGCGCATTTAATATATTGTTTATGCAATCAAAATGTGTCAAATCCCCTCATTTCATTTTAAATACAGAGAGCAAATGATTGATTATATGACAAACTGCAGAGGCCAATTCACAGTAAACATGTGATGCACGACCAGGAAATATAAAAAGAGCTTTAGACATGTTTGTCAATAAAGCATGTCAATTATATGGGACTATACCAGTTTGTATAGATATTTCCTGTTCATTCTAACAGCACTTTCATGTGGCCCGATTTTAAAGACCATCTAGTTTTAGGCCTAAAGATAATGAAGTTCAGCTTTATGGAGAATTTTGTTGAAAACATAATTCGTTTTTCTGTTATTCCAGTTAAAACGTGTCTTTATATCAAATCTGCCAAATGCTGGAGACACTGTTGGCTCTCTGAGGGAAATCATTATGTTATATTCTGGTCTTGTACATTTTTAATTTCCTTTGGTTGTTGAAGTTTTGCACAAAGTAGTTCATATGGATATTGCATACCAGAGAACCTTCATTTGGGCTACTTGCTATTGGAACATGTTACTTACAAATGTTGGATATTTATTTCAGATTATTCTTAGCACAGTTGATACGAAAGGCATAACTAAAAAAGTGGCTTTTCATCAGTTTTTGGTTAAATGATTTAAGTAAAAAACAATATTTGCACCGGGGCCAATCACAACCTTGTTACGCCACTGCCATAAACTATTAACGTACAGTTTGTTGAACACTTCGACAAAGATATGAGAAAACTAAATTTACTTACGGATCATGCAGCGGATTAGGAGGTCCTTCAATCGGGTTCTTCAGAATGAGCCTTTACTTTAAAGGCTTAAACCCTTGCCTTCAGAAAGCTTGTCAATTTAAATTTAAATATCAGCGTTGTTAGCTACGTTAGCTAGCTTGTTTTAGGACTGCATTAGCCCCACTTAAAGAGTTTAATTTCAGTTAAAACATTTACTTTAGTTCAGCCTTCTTTTGTCTGCTAGTTTATACATATTAATGGTCACGAAACTCATTAGTTATACGATGAATAAAGCTCAAATTGTTGTGAATTATTGACTGTTGAGTTTACTGATTTATTGGCAACACAAACAAACTGCTGAATTATTGTGCGTATATTTTCACCTGAGCGCCGTAGACGGGCTTCTCCGCCTTGACATCTAGGGCGGAGCTTATACGTTAAGCACAATGCTAAAGAGGAGTGACCCGCCCCGCCGGGTTACGCCGTGCCTTGGACCAACGGTCAATGAACTACACTGTAAACAAATAGTGCAGCATACTTAGAGGGAGCTGTCTATACAATTATCTATGGTCTATTGCAAGTTATCAGCAATACTTTGCAGTGCTAGTCCTATTTTTATAATACCGAATCCCCTTTTGTGTGATTTTGCTTTTATTAAGCTTTTAACAATTATTTCTTTATATTTTGTTGTATGTGCATGTAATTTATCTGAAAAATGGGTACCAGAAAACACAACCAGGTTTAAAAAAAGAAAAGAAAAAAGGTTTATCCAAATTCAGTAATCTTAATAAATCCATTATTTTTTTATCATGATTAAGTCAAATCAAATCTCTAGTTTTCAGTCTTGCGTGAAATATGGGCATCCTTATTGTGGGCATTTAACACTTTTGCACAAAAGGCTTAAAATAATTTGCTCTCTCCCAGTATCTTAAGACACAGTAGCACACAGTGTTCATGCATTCATCAAATAATTTATTATATTTTTACAAATAATACAGCATTTTTCTGTGAAACACACAACCGAACATTAACAGCATGTCTCCATGAACTTTGCCTCACACGATGACAACAAGCCTTCATTTTAAACCGGTTTTTCAAAACCGGTTTATCATGAATCTAAATTTAAATCATACGGGCGCTGTACAATAGCTGCCCACTGTGGCTCCTAGTACTATGATGGGTTAAATGCAGAGAACAAATTTCACTGTGTGTGCTGTGTGACCATTAAAGAGGGTTTAATCCCTCCGATTCTATCCATCTATCTACAAGGCCTGGGATAATGCTTTAATAAAGTTACATGCAGTAACAAAAATGTCCATATGTGTGTTTTTCCACTTTTCTTTACAAGTTAATGTTATCCGAGTGACGAAATGTACAGAAAAATTATATAAATAATCATATACGGATATGAGTTTTGAATTAAAAAACGTACATACATCTCTAATAATAACCACTTCAAAATCAGTATAGCTTATTTATAATCATGTTGTTAAAGTCAGCGACATTTAGCCACGTGCCCAGAGAGATGGTGAGAGCGAGCAAACCTGCGCAGGCAGTTCGGGCAAGAATATGGCTTCTCGCCTGTGTGGGTTAACATGTGAGTTTTAAGATGTCCTGACAAACGAAAGCTTTTTCCACATTCTTCACACGTGTAGGGACGCAGGTTGGTGTGACTCCTCCTGTGCTTACCCAGATCGCCGGACGAGGTGAAACGATTGTGGCACTCTGGGCATTCAAAGGGCTTTTCCCCAGAGTGTATCCTCTTATGCTTGGCCAGATCACCTGACTGAGTGAAACTCTTGTCGCATTCATTGCATTTGTAGGGTTTCTCTCCAGTGTGTATGCGTTGGTGGTTCCGCAGATGTGATAGGCGAATGAACCTATTGCCGCAGACTGTGCAGTGGTAAGGTCTTTCTCCGGTGTGTGTGCGCAGGTGTATTTTCAAAGCCCCGATGTCTCCAATCTTCAGCCCACAGTCACCGCACTGGTGAGCTTTCTCAATGTTATGGATTTTGGAGTGAACCCCGAGGTTTCTCTGGGTGATGAAGTCCTTCCCGCACACATTGCAGTGAAAGGGTTTCTCATCGGAGTGCGTCCTAATGTGGAGAGTCAGACTCGACTTGAATCCAAACTCTTTTCCACATTCAGAACAAGAGTATTCCTTCTTCCCCGAGTGTGTGGTTAAGTGGCACTTGAGGTGATGCGATCTTAAAAAGGCCTTCCCGCACACCTGGCATTTGTAAGGCTTCTCCCCTAAGTGTATTTTCATGTGTTGCCGCCACCCGCTGCGCTCCACAAACCTCCTGCCACAATCCTTGCAGACATACGGCCGGTCACCCGTGTGTGTGCGCATGTGATCCTCCAGGCTTTGAGGTGTGCCTATCATCTTGCCACATTCTGGACACTTCACACCAACATCCAGACAGATTGGCTTATCCTCGGATTCTGTGTTTTGCTGCTCATGACACAAATGCGGCCCTTGACCCCAGGTAGCTTTGAAACTCTTCCCACACTTGGCGCAGCTGAGATGTCCTCCTTTGGTCGCCACGGACATGCTGTGCCAGCGCTGACAGTGATTCTTCAGATTCTTCAGGTACTGGAAGCTGCGCGCACATGTCGGACAGGGGAAGAGTCTGCGAGGAGGGGCAGAAGGGTGGGCTTCACGTATATGGAGCCTAAGGTGTACTTTAGATGTAAAGGTGCTGCTGCAGGCGGTGCACGGGTGTTTGGGGATGAGGTTCAGTGTGCGGCTTGAGAGGCATTTCTTTAGTTTGGCAAGATACTCCTTCTGATGGACCCACTTGACATGCTTCTCCAGGAAGTCCAGGTCAGTGAAGGAAACATCGCAGTGAGGACATGGATAGAAGTCAGACGATGACTCTGGGGAGGAGAGGAAGACACACAGGAAGCAGAGTGCATTAAATAAAGGTGGTAATTATGATTTTCAAACTTCCCTATTATACAGACAACGTGAAAAATACTTAAAGGACACCTATCATGCTATATTTTAACAATATATTGTAGGGCCATACCTATATAAAGTATATAAATATAGTTTTTTTTTCAAAATACTAAACAGATCCTGCATTTTAGCCATGCCTCATTTCGCTCTATTTGCTCTTTCCAGCACTGTTTTTGCAGGGGCCTGATTCTGTGAGCTGCAGCTGACCACGCCCCCCTGCAGGAGAGGGGAGCGTGCTCTGAACAGCTGCTGGGCTGTCAGAAGAGGGGGAGAAAAATAGATCTCCGTCTTCCGTGTTTTATTATATAGAGTCGTTATTCATTTGTTTTAAAGCTCAATAAATAACAAAGAAGACCTTTGACCGGCACATTTCTAATTTTGTCCGGAAGATTTAAACTTTAACGGACATCTTGACCGGCGAAAAAAAAACCTAACTGAAACTCTGCCGCACGGTCCCCTCGTTCCTTGGAAGAGGCGGAGAGGTGGGTGTTTGTCATCTGCTGGTGGACTAACCGGAGAGAATTACAGTGCTTGCCTCGACGGGGAGGGATTGCATTGAATTACAGCAGCGGGAGCAAAGGCTTGCCTCGGGGAGGGAGAAAAAAAGCCACAGCCATGCGCGGGAAGTCTTCTTCGCTGCTTTTGTGGCAGACTACTGCGCCACTTACAGGCCTGGCATATGTACTACAGCGTCTCCAGCGCTTTCGAGCGGCAATGGCCGGCCGTGGCCCAACCCCACATTTCCCTGATAGGTGGAGAGTTGGCCCAATAGCCGTAGCGCCACTGTCCTGACGTCAGTAACGTGTTCAAATCTGGATCAGTTTTTATCAGATCCGTTGCAGCCCCTTTTTTAGAGATTTGGGTATGGAGGAAAATAGAGAGGGTTGTGTTTTCTGACACTTGGTGAGTTCCCTGGAACAACGGGGACACATATTCATGTATAAAAGACGTACAAAAGTGCATTTTGCATGATAGGTCCCCTTTAAAAGTTATGAGCAACAAAATAAGCCTATTGCATTAATAATAAACAGTATGTAAATAATATTCTTCTTTCAAATTTTTTTGCTGTAATTTGGCCCTTCATATGTATATATTTTCTATTTTGAGATGTTTCTATTTTATGTTGGTTTATTTATTACTCTTTTTTTCATTTTCAGATGTGCAACGCATTGTTTTAACATGCCGAGTCTGCTGAGACGAAAAATGTAGTAAGTAAATCCAGTCTTATCTTATCTAAATATATATAAATATTGCAAATTACCAATTTACAACATGACATATGAGTTACATAAGCTGCAGTGCCACAAATGGCAAAGTACTGGCTTTATCTTATATTGCATTAATACTTATACATTTTAAAATATTTGATAACCTGCTGTTGTATTAGTGCAATGAAGAAACACACTTTTTAATATAAAAGAAACACCAAAACGTCAATAATATCCAGGGATTGCCTGTTTTTTATAAACTACAGATATCCTACCTTTGCAGTCCTTCTCTCCTTCTCCATAATCTCCCTTGATGTGTATTGTTGCCTCCCCCCCTCTCTGCTGCTCAATGTGTATCTCCTCTTTTATCCCTGACTCTGGTTCCTCTTTGACAGCAGCCTCAGTGACATCTGGATGATGCTCAAAGTCACACTCTTCCTTGATGTGTTGCTGAACATCTGGCATGCATGCCTCAGTCCCATCCTTAGTGTCTGAGCAGCATGATGAGGGTCCATTGTGCTCCTCACTGATCTCCTGTGAGAGTGGTTCCTCCTTGATTTGGATGATCAGACCCGCTCCATTAGTAAGGTGCACTTCCTCCTCTGGTTCACATTCAGTCTTAACTACCACAACATCATGTTGTTTCTCTCCTCTCATTGCTTTGTTTTGCAAAGACTTCTTCTTGGTGGATTTCATCTTCATATGGTCACCATTAGGGTTTCGTCATTTAATGTGCTGCGAACAAGAGGGACACATTGCTGAGGTTAATTTATAGTACAGAAAAGGCAGTAACATACAATACATTTGCATAAATACACGACACAAGTCTTCATCTTCTCCATATTTCTGTTATCTACGGGTTAGCATCATAGCTAAGCATCACTAACGCCTGCATTAGCCTAGCAACGGGGCTAGCACTGTGGGTCATTTACCGTTAAAACCGTTTTCTTGTAGCTAGGCAACTGTCAATGTTATTATGGTTAATCAGGTGTAAAGAAAATACTGACCGTTGATAGTTTCGTCATTCAGTCAAAGCTGCTTTTTAATACCTAAGCAGGTTAACGTTTAATAAATGGCTAGAATATAACACAGGAAGAGCAGCACACTTCCTCCTGCTCCGGCCAATCAGCGCAGGTCACTGATGTCCAAGTTACATCACAGGATTAAAGTAACAGCAACACAATCACAAACACAACCACTGCCACTGCATTTTATTAAATAAATAACTAAACATGTCTTATAATGCACTGTCACTCTTTTTCTTTTATTTAAACCTGTCTTATTCTACTTTATCCTTCTTCTTTGCATTCTCTTGGCTTTTTTTAATTACTTTTTTAAATGTAACCTTTAAATGGTTTCTGTATTCTGGTGGGTTAAAGTCATTTGACAGGTGGCATTGTTTAACATGGGTTTAGTATAATTGTAATATGGATGTTATAAAGGTGTAATAATAGTGTGATTTGGGTGTAATCTTAGTGCTGTATTAATGGTGTACAGTAATAACAGTTTAACATGGGTGTAATATTGGTGTTAGATGTGTGTAGTGTGGGTGTGATAATGGTGTATTAACAGTGTTGTATGGCTGCAATAATGTTGTTTAGCCCTTCTATTGTCTTAGTTCCCCCCCCCCCTCTTACTTTGGTATTCGCGGTCAAATTTGACCGGTCCTGTTTTAACTGCTATTACATTAACACAAATACCATTAATCATCACCAAATTTCATTTAACACCCTTTCAAACTGTAAATATTGTATCAGACTACTGGTATACATGAAAAACTGCAGTAAATATACAAAGAATAGACACTGAACATGTATTGCATGTGCCAGGTGTGATCCATGTGTCAAATTGTTGTGTGTGTGTGTGTGTGTGTGTGTGTGTGGGTGTGTTATCTGATCCGGATGGTTACTAATTCCTTTTCTTTATGGCGGTCATTTTTGACCGGGAACACCATGGGTGTTACAAAGTTGACTAAATCATCCAAAATTCAATGACAGTGGTGATCAGCAATTGTATATGTTCAAATATCTACTGTGAAGCATATCATAAAGCCTTAATGCAATCGAATGTAAAACAAAAAAGTTATGATTGATGAAAGTAGTAAATCGGTCAGATTTGACCCGAAGACAACAGGAGGGTTAACAGTGTAATATTGGTGTGATGGGTTTAATAATGTATAAAATGTGTACCCTACATGGAGATAGTATTTCTGAGTGTAAAATGGAAAACAAAGGAACATAATTCTAAACATTTTTAGACTAGATACATTAGAAAATCACAATTAAGTAGTGTTTCTAATTATTTTGTATTTGTAATTAGTTTTCCCTCCTGTAAAAAAAAACCACAGAGTCATGTTTCACAGACTTTATTTAAGCCGACTCAGGACAGAGAATCTTGACGCAATATTCTGTACAGCACTGTTCCCTTTTTTGAAAACAAAAAAACAAACACAACAAAATGTATGTACAAAATATGTTAAAAAAAGAACAAAGAAAAAAAACAGTATTAATGCTTAATCGTGGAGGGCTGTTATAAATAGGGACAGTATGTATTTGAAGCTTTTGCTGTGAGTATACAGTTCATGATTTAGTTCAGTCGATAACAAGCCAGTAGCATCATTCTGAGTTCATTCATGACTCGTGTGCCATCTGAGGCTGGACGACATCTCTTAGTGTTTCTCGTGAATAATGGGGCTCATTGCCTCCATGCAGTGCAAAAAGGAAACCAGAGAGGAAACACAAAAAACAAAACTAACCTTGACAGTACAAGTAATTCAGTCTCATCACAAATAAAAAAGCTTTCACGTCTTCTCAAAATCTCTCACCAGGAGAATTCTTTCCGTTGCGTTCATTTCGATAAAGTAAAATGTTCCATACCTTTTCATTTTTATACATCCAATTTCTTTTCTTTTTTTAAATCAAATTGATTGGTTATTACAATCATTTAAGCAGACAAGGTGCCTGAAAAAAGCAGTCCAGCAAAACGAGCCAAACACCAACATACATTTCATAATGTAACCAAACGTTTCCAAAGGACACATACTTTCTTCTTTTCATGGACGAATTATGTTGTGTTTCTAAATTATCTTACTATTATACTAATAGGAAAACATCATCCTTCATTATTTGTTCAAGTCATGAAACAAAATGTGTTATTAAGTGTAAGCCGTTCGACTCGCAGACAAGGCAATAAGTGAAGGCAGATGAGAAGAAACACAAATTAATGTGTAACATAAACACGTAGCCTCGAAGCCTGCCATATACTGAGCTACAGTTATAAATCACTCATATCGACTGTGATATAAAAAACATCTCACAAGCGACTTTGACTTGTTTACCTGCACGGAGCTGACAATCACAATCTTGCACATTACGCCTAACCAAAGTCTTTTGTTCTCAACGGCAATTTTGATTGTCACTTTCTGGGGTATAAAGCACATGTTGGTTCCAAAGAGAGTATTTTTAACACCTCTCTTTGTCAGTGAGAAGAGTTTTGTCCTCAGTCCGGCTTCAGTCTGTGTATGAGACTGAGTGTGCTCACACCTCATAGACAGGATGTGTTGTTGAAGCATGAAGCAGTTGTAGTGCACTGCAGAGACATGGTCATGTGAAGCACTGCAATACATAATACAAATAAAAGACACTTAATAATTCATGTTACAGTGTATGTACAACTCTGTTCAAAATGCTCACGTGAAGCGACATAACTCTTGGACTTTTGCCTTACAGCTTTCAAACAAATTCATCCCCTCTCTTTTACACCTTATCTTATATTGTTGCTTCCCTACATAGCCATAGTGGTGAGGTGTTGATGCCCGAGCAGACCTTTGCGCCCCCCTCCCCCCGGGTGACCCCCCCCGTTGCCATGGCCACAGTATTCTTGCAGGTTCTGACGCAGAGTAACCAGTGCAGAGCCCAGGCAGGCCCGATTGGGAGCCAGGACCCCCCCGGGCAGCTGGAAGAGGACGGTGGCCACCCCGGCCATGCCGTCGTCCGTGGGCTCCAGAGTGATGGGCCCGACCTTAAAGGTGGAGTAAGAAAAGCCCATGAGCTGAGAGAGGAAGGGGTCGGAGCGGCAAAAGTTCTGGTAGCCGCTGTACGTGGATGGGTGATGATGTTGTGAGGCGGGGGTGCCAGACGTGGTGCTGGCATAGTGGTGGGTGTTCAGGTAGTGAAGCGGAAGGTGCTGCCCGCCGTTGCCCCCTCCACCCAGGGTGAGGTGATGGTGGTGGTGCGCCGTGGGTCCAGAGCCCGGGTCGTGTTTGTAGGAGACACCCCCCGCCCGGCCCCTCTGACCCACCACCACACCTCCTAGCTTGCTTGTGCGGGCGTGAGCGAGCGACACAGTGCTGCCCCCCCCGCCCGCTGACGGCAGGTAGATGAGCTGAGGCTCCTCCGGCTCCAGGTAAATGGTGAGTTTAGCGAAGGGCCTCGACGCCATCTTGGTCATCTCCTGGATGTGTCGGCGCTGCTCCCGCCGGAAGTCCAGGAACTGCTTCACCTTCCAGAGGAGGACGCAGACGGACAGGAAGAGGAAGAAGCAGGAGAAGAAAACAGAGAAGAAGACAAACAGGTCTATGTGGGCTTGGTCCTGTCGCAGAAACAGCAGACCCTGCGACTCCCCCTGCCTCTGGTCAGTTCCCAGCCCTCTCAGAGCGATGTAGAAGCGGCTGGACTTCAGGGAGTGCACCTCGTGAGGGAAGGTGATGACCACACGATCTCGAACACCACGGACTATCAGCACCGTCTGAGGTTTCCACACCGTGATGTAGCTGATGAGTCCTTCAGCGCGCTCCTCTGTCATCTCTTTCTCCGCCCCTGGGGTTTTTGCTTGCAACTGAAGTGGATTGTGGGAGAGCAAGGGACCCAAGAGACTGGACGAGGCATTGGCAAACACCTTTATAGGGGACGGAGGTGAATCCTTATCTACGCCAGTCGCTGTGCCTCGAGTCGCTGGATCCTCCTCGATGTTGATGGTGTGAATCCCTGTGGATCTGTCTACGTCCACGATGAAGATGTCAGGAGAGTTGGACACGTACACCTCCACCTCCCCAAAGGTAACATCGATGGTAACCCGGATGTCCACATTGGTGAACTTTGGCTGCGCAGAGAAAAAGACGGTCCGGCCTCTGGGCAGGTTGCGGATGGTGGGGTCATGGAAGCAGTTGGTCTGGGACGTGGGGTCGAAGCAGCACTCTGTGTCCACGTTGAACTGACGGTAGCACTGACGCCCGTTCACCGGGGTGCCGTTGAAGGAGTCTTTGCACTTGGCACACTGAATAAAAGAGCACAACATTTTTTTTGCCTTTAACAATGCAGAGAAAGAAAGTCAAAGATGATATTGTGACCAGTGACCATGGTCAACTTCTGTGTGAATAATATGTTGTCAAAAATGTGCAAAGTAAAAGCCTTCTTCCATATTTGAAGTGCCTTAAGTGCATACCTGTTGCTTGTAGCAGTCTTTGCGGTCACTCTGAGCGTTGTTGAGGCAGGAGGGGGTCTCGGTGTTGTTTTGGCAGGGGCATCCTGTACCATCGTGTTCATTACACGTGTCTGCATGGCCGTTACACTGACACCTGCAATGCACAGGAGAACATTCACACTTAAAAGGAGAGAAAACTAAAGGGGAGAAGAGAGTTTTAGTAAGAGTGCTGCTTCTTCAGGCATTTTTGTGGATTGTCTTTTTGCAACATTTTATTTATCTGACCAATGGGCATGGGGACATTTCCATCTCATTAGTAGCACGTATTTGTTGCTGTAAGACCACATAGATAAAAAGGTAAAATTATAATTTAGTAGTACAACATTCAGTATGCACAGTAGTTATATCAGAGGTCAGGCATTGTGTAACAATGTATAATGGTGAAGGTGGACAGTGCCAAAACATTGAGTATATAGTCTTTTTTATTTAAATCTAAAAGCCTAATATTAATGTGTACATCCGACATATTCATGGATACCAGATTTCCAAAAGCAACATGTTCATGGATGGTGGTGCAGGATGAAAAACGTGTCACTAAACAAGAAATAAGCTTCACATGTCAGACACTGGCTCGTACAGATTACAAGATATTAGTGAAAATGCTCTCAAATCAGTCGTCTGTTTCTTTGTTACAGGAGACTGGGGTTCGATTCCCAGTCGGGAGGTGGGGCAAGTCCAGTGAGGGCCCTTGGGGGAAGACCCTTAATGCGAGAGTCAGACTGGCTCGGACGTCAACCGGGTCAACGAGGTCCTCGTCAGGTGTTGGGGAACCAGGGAGACCTGATGAGAAATGGGCTGCTGGAACAACGATGGCTGACCAAGGCTGGAGAAAATGGAACTCCTGCTACACAATTTAACCCAAGGGTAAGGGTTACATGAAGAGGACTTGGACTGATGGATACTTCAAAACCCAACATCTAGACTAAATAGTAAACAACATTTAGCTCAGTGTCCCAATATCTGCAGTTGCAAACAAAAAAAAAGACCAGAGGAACCAAAACTGAGGATACATCTGTTTATTACTTTAATAATGAATATTGTGATGTATCTATTTTTAAGATAAGATATGAAATGCATTCTATATATTGGATTAATTGTTAGCATCCTTTACAAATTCTGTATGTTCTTCCATTTTCATGCTCAGTTGCATCGCTGGTGCTGGAAGTCTTAAGGTGAGTGTCTTCACTGCGGGGGGCTACAGTTGCTCAACCTGATGTTGGCCTCGGGGCTTTTCTGCCTCTTGTCCTCCTAAACAGACAGGGAGGCAAACATGTCAGAATATTAATGTGTGCATATGCCTCTTATCATTGTATTGACAGATGTGGAAGAAGTACTCGGATCTTAAATTGTGTATAGCAATAGTACATTGTAGAAAAACTCTGTTTCAAAGTCCTGCATTTAACAGTACACATTACAAACATATAAGCATCATAATACACTATCAAAAGTAATATAACTTGTTATGAGCTATCTCCCAATTCAGAATCAGATACTTTAAAAAAAAGACATACAAAAAGGTGGATCTAATTGTACAGTATGTTAATGTGTATTTACTGTTGATGTATGATTTGCTAATGTACAGTTAGTAGTGACTAGAACTGTCAAATACATGTAATGGAGTAAACAGCTCAAAATAGGCTTCTAAAATGTAGGGCAGTTGAAGTAAAAATGTTAAACCTTAACATGGAAGTAGTAGTAACTCACAATAATTGAGTAAATGTACTTCAAAAACATTTCACCGCTTAAAACTGAAAAATCGAGCAAGGTGTTTTCACTCTCTCAGACATGTTTCTCTCTTATTCACATACAGTCTGTTTCCAGCGTGTTAGGAGCATATATGCAGTCTATAGGAACACGACTGAAGCTAACCACGTTTAAGTGTTTTAAAAAAAGGGGTTTTTGGATTAGGGAACTGAATGATAAAAATATGTTTGCTAGCCAAATTGAGGGCTTACCAGAAACAACGTGTTGACGGCATCCGGAGTTAGATGCCAGTGGTCCAGTCTGGTTGAATCCAAACATTTATTCCGCGATATAACTCCTTTGGGATCGAATCAAATTGTAGTCCGGGGTTTTTCTCTGACGTCGGCTGTCGCAGCCAGCAGAGCAACAAATCCCGGGGAATGTTTTACGAGCCTTTATCGATCGTAATGAGCTTTTTCTTGGATCATCTTGGACACAAACATGGTGGCGCAAGGAAACAGTGACGTCACGCGGCCCCCATGAATAAAGACTTGGTAATGTTGATCAAATTTGTGTTTTTTTTAAGGTAAACCGGTTTGTTTTGTCACCCTACTTGGGCTTACCTCACTTACCTACTTGGTGTGTGTGTGCGAGCAGCAAGTTCAATACGTTCAACAACCTCTATTAGCCTTTTGGTCCAAGAAAAAAAAATAACCCTGTAAAATGCCACAATCCTGAAATAAAAAAAACAAACCTGGAACAGCGACGTTAACCCGCTTCGGCACAAACAGTTCTGTTGCAGAGTTGCGTTAACTCACTCCTCTGGTAGAGGATGATATATTTGCAAATCTAACATCCCTAGGTCAAGGCAAGAGAATCCATTGTTTTGTGAGCAGTGCATATTACTCACTTTTCACACTTCCCCTGAAGCAGGAAGAAACCACTGAGGCAGCTCTCACACTTGTCCCCCACGCTGTTGTTCTGGCAATTCACACACACAGCATTCTCCTCTGTGGGACCCTCCGACACCTCGCTCTGAATCTGATAAAGACACAAAGAGTTTATGGGCCAGAGAACAAAGACTGTGAACACTTTCTGGTGGATTTGTTTTTTTACATATAGTCATGAGAACGGCAGACACTTACGCTGCTGGTGTCAAGAGGGAAAAGCCGTGGGTTCTCAAGGGCCTTCTTATGTTCGTCTCCGGTTAAACACACATCACTGTTTCCCCTGCAAAACTCCCGACACGGACGACAAGTGCCGCCCCCCTTGGCAGAGCCCACAAACAGAGGCTTACACTTCTCACAGTGCTTACCCTGGAAATACAAGAGATACATTTGTATTACCAGTTTGGAAATGTTTTCATAACTCTGTTTAGAGTGCATGTGATTTGCTATAAGCCCTTACTATGGTGTTATTGTGGCACTCGAGGCAAACATCCGGTTTGCTGACTCCGGCGCAGTTGCTGTGTTTGTTGCAACTGCACTGAGAGGAGCAGTTATCTCCCACAAACCCGAAGTGACACTGGCAAATTCCTGGGGAAATACACGTCCCGTTCACACAGCCCTGTGCACACACCGGCTCACACTGACCAGAAACACTGTACAGAGGAAAAAGAAAAAGAAAAGATTTTGGAAAACCTGTATGTCACTATGCAATACAGTATTTTTCTTAAAGGTCCCCTATTATTCTGTTTTTCATCAATATATTATAGGTCTCAGTTATATACAGAACATGTCTCTGAAGTGTTTGGCTCCTAACACCAAACAGATCATTGCAGCATCCCATAATCCCCTCTGTTTCAGCCCTGTTTCAAAAGTGCTGATTCTCTGTCTGTTACTTCAGATGAAAATAAGGAGCCCCTCCCCACGCCCCTCTGAGAGAGATTTGGTTAAAAAGAACACAATGGTGCTCTTGGAGGAGATTCAGGTGATACGGGAGGGGGGGTACCTTGGTTGGTGATTGGCTAATGGTTACACAAGCCAAACAATCGTTATGACATCATAAAGTGGCCAAAATCTGATCAGCTCATTTTCAGACAGGTTTTTATAGAAATGGATCAGGACAGAAAGAGAGAGAATCTTTGTTCCTGAAACTTTCAGAATCTCTTTACACAGAGGGGACACATGTTGATGTAGAAGAGACATGAAAAAGTGGATTTTGCACAACAGGTGACCTTTAACTATACTCCTGAATTCAGTGTTTGAGTCATACATGCTGAGTCCAGATCTCACCTGCTGAGGATGTAGCCCTGTTTGCAGGTGCAGTGGTAGCCCTGCGGTTGGTCGTGGCAGTCCTGGGTGCTGTTACAGTCGTGATGGCCATTGGCACATTCATCCTCCTCTGGACAGTGGAGGAAGGACCAGCTGCTGTTCCTCAGGGGGCAAACACCCTCACTCACACCTGGGAGACAAGAATGGAGGAAGATGAGGGGACCACAGAGCAGAAAAGCAGAAATGTGGTTTATGAAACTGGTGGGAAACGCAATCGCTGAACTTTTTATTATTATAATTGTTTTTTTAGAATAGTTTCTTAGGTAACATTAAGCTGTCTTTGGCTCTTTTCTGCTGTAACAATGTACGTTTCCCCTCTGTGGGACTAATAAAGGTATTCTGATTCTGAAGACATTTCTCACCATCAAGTCCTCCTTGTAGGCAGCCTCCAGCCCCATTGCCCCCCCGACCAGCACACCAGCCGCACTGAGGCCTGGCAATGCACTGGGAGCACTGGGTGAGCTGGGAGCACTGGGGCGAGCAGGAGTCCCCCCCGGAGAGCAGGCGACCGCACTGACCCGCCTCACATCGCAGGGGCGTGTAGGAAGGGCTCATGCACTAGAGACAGGGGGGAATGTTTAGCCATATTTATTGATTCATTTGTTTATTCCACATATGGCAGTTATTTTAAAACAAAACATGTACACTTTACAAAACATGTACACTTATAGGCTACTGTTTTTTTTATAGCGCATGGTGGAAAGGAGCAGGGAGAAGAACATCTTATTTTAGTCAAATAAAAGCAATATTCTTTCAGTCTCAGTTGCTTACAAATACTGAAACATAAAACCAGAACACAATCAAAAGTCAACTTCATACTGTCTAATTACGCTTTCTTTATACATTTTCTTAAACATAAAACATTTTTTACAGCCCTTTAAATCATTTGGCATATAAGAATCCGATTTGATTAAATAAAAGATTCTGTGAAGCACTTAAGGGGCGGACTTACCTGCTGCAGAGCCATGCTCCACACACAGTGCTGCCACCCCCCATCAGAGCCTCTGGAGCCCAGACACAGGCTGCAGTTAGTGAGAGTGTGGCAGGGGGGAGGGCAGGGCATGGGGGGGGAGGACTCCACCTGCATGGGGGAGACGTTGAGCAGAGCGTAGCTGAAACACGTCCAGTCGTAGGTGGGGTTCACACTCAGGATGCGCCTCGTCTCACCTGGGGGACACAGTCAGTGTTTATTATGAAATGCCCTAAAGAAATTAGTTTTGATATATGATGCTGCATACATTAACAGACTAGGACATATTCAACTAGAAAATTAAAGCATACATACAAATATTTTTTAAATATATTATTAAATTAAAAGTTTGTAAATGTTTATAAAAAAAAGGAATAGAGAATAAGAAAATAGAAAATTACAATGTAAAAAATAAATATATATATTTTCTATTTTCAGTTCCAGACCAATCAATTCTATCAATTTGACACTGCTTAAGTTTGTATAGTATAATAATTATCATGTTTCATTTCATTATTATTATTCATTTTTTTATTATTGTTTTACACATTCTAAATAATTCAAAAAAATATATATATATATATGATAAAAAACATCATAATCTTTTCAAGGCTTTACAACACAATCACCGTACCTGTGCGTTTGAACTGGCGAGTCCACATGCATTTTCCAGAGGAGGTGCACTTGGGGCAGTCGGACGCCTCGCAGCTGGTCTCAGTGCAGTTGCTGGACACGAAGATCTCTCTCTGGTTGATGCGACAGTCGTGTTCAGACGTGCAGCTGACAAAGCTGCTGATACAGGCGCCCTCTGGACAGTTTGTGCACCACTTACAATGTAGAGCAGGCTGGGAGGATCAGAAAGGAACAGGTCTTAGTTTGAGGAAAGAAGCTGTCTTTCTTTGAGCTAGGCTAAAGACACTTATTTATTTATTTACCACTGGCCTTTTCGGCCCCTTAATCCTTAAATCTGTTAAGTCTTCAATTCTGTATTTGCACATTGTTGTTTATTGTTACCATTAGTTTTTCATCTTTTTACTCACATTTGTAATGTTTTTACAGTCATTTTGTCAACTCTACAAACAAATGGTGATTACTTACTAGTGATTGTTTCGATGTAGGTGCATAGGATGTTACCAGTAACGGATTGGTGAATATTTTAGGGTGTCGAGCGAGGCATTCACTGCAGGTCTTAAGTCTGCGACACTGGTCCGGCTGACGGGGGGTCGGGGAACACGGAGACTGACCAGTCAAGCATCCAATTCTGATGGAGAGGGGGAGGGGGGGGGACTGTAAGTTGGAGATACACATACAACACTTTATTTAGAGTTTCTTTCAGCCAAAGCGTTACCTCTCAGCTGTATCAGAAGATGCACAGGCTGCCCGACACCAGACACAGCTGCCGGTGGTGGTGTTGCAGGCCTCTGGGGTGGGCAGCAGGGCACAGGGATCAGAGGGCATGGTCAGGGTCAGGAGTCGGCCCAGCGTGACGCCATTAAAGCCTCCGGACAGGAAGAGACGTCCGCCCCAGCTCGTCATGGCAAGAGACACTGAACGATTCACTGGATCTCCTATAACTGAGACTGAAGGAAGGAGGAAAACATACGTTATTGGACGGTAAATCATGATTTGACTGAAAATGAATCTGCAGGAAGACCTTAAGGCAGTCACCTGGTTGAATCCAGGTGTTACAGTTGATCTGGTACAGAGACACTGAGTTACTGTAGTCCTCTGCTTCGGTCCGGCCCCCGACAATCACCATGGTGTCTTTGATCATGGCTGCAGTGTGGAAGAAGCGGGACAGGGGCTGCGCAGCGAAGAGATGACACAGCAAGAATAGATAGGTTATCTATATGCAGCGGACTGATAAGAGGATAAATGCTTAGCTTGACTTATTTACCAGACTGTAAGAGGAGCATCGAGAAGAGGCCACGTTAATAAAATATGTTTCACCATTGACTGAATTGTTATTACAATGACGGAGATAATATGAATACTGTCCCGTCATTTTAAAAGGTTTGAAGCGGGTTGTACATTCACTTTAAGCTATTTACAGCGCCTTAAACAACTACGGACAAGAAAAATGTTGGTCACCCATCTGCTTCGTATGATGTTGACATGAAAAGTGATCACGATTGGTGTCTCTGTTCATCATCTTTCTAAGTGCCGCTATAAATGCATAATCTATAAGCTAGTTATATGTCATAATGCCCATGAATAGAAGATTACACCTCTTTTTGAATCCTTACCTTGACCCCCTGTGAGGGCACCAGCAGGGACCAGGTGAGGCTGGGGTAGTACAGACTGTAGAGCTCTCCTGAGGGCTCCACCGTCTCTACGTGGAAGCGGTAGCCTCCAAACACGTAGATGGCATCGGTCTGCTTGTGGTAGACTGCAGAGTGACCGTATAAACCTGAGTGAAGAACACATAATGCAAAACAGGTTGAAGTGCAAAGGAAAAGAAAATGGTTGTTTTTGTGTTGTTTGTTTTCTCCCTCTCTGAAAATGTAATGAATTCCTATTGACTACAAATAATGATGTCTGTACTTATATCAGTGTTTCATAAATCAATGAGTTACAGAGGGAGTAAAAGCTCAAATACAACCCGTAATAAAAGGCCTCAAAAACCTGTAGGCGGTGTGCCAACGTGGGAGATGATGGTCCAGTTTCCGGTCCGAGGGCTGAACTCCAGCAGGTGGTGGTTGAAGCCGTTGTCTGGAGAGTATCCTCCAATCAACAGCACGGAGGAGTGTCTGCGCACCGTTAAAGTGTGGCCGGCCAACGGGGGCAGCAGCGTGCTCTATATATGGAAGAGATATCAATTTGTTAGAGTGAAAAGAAACAAAAGATTTTAGGTCCCCTATCATACTGTTTTTCATTACTTTATTATAGGTGTCAGATATATACAAAACATGTCTCTGAAGTGATTGGCTGAAACACCAAACAGATCATTGCAGCATCCCCTCTGTTTCAGCCCTGTTTCAAAAGTGCTGATTCTCTGTCTGTTACTTTAGATGAAAATAAGGAGCCACTCCCCACGCCCCTCTGAGAGATATTTGGTTACAAAGAACACAATAGCCGCGTTCACACCGGAGTACTTTTCACCGTACTTTTCGCGTTTAGTTCCGTTAGTACCCCTTATGTCGCGTTCACACCAAAAAGAGCACTTCTCGGGAACTTTTACCCCCATTTTTAGTGCCTGCTGAGAGATGGTACTCTCCTGGGGGAAAAAAGTGCCCCAGTTCTGGTTGGCTGGGCGAATTGCAAACCACGCCTCGTACAACTCTGAAATGTTTTGTAGAGCCGCCATTGTATTATCCTCGCATTAGCATTATTAGCATTAGCATTATTAGCATTAGCATTCGCCCAGCGCACAAACGCAGAGAGACTAACAGCAACACAAAACAAAATATGGGAGCGGTGGAGATGAGGAGGTGTCGGCGTTCTGGCGATTTACTCGGAAGGCTTCAGTAGAAGCCAGTCCCCAACTCCGGGGACTTCCGGCCGGGGACTCCGGGTGGCAGTATACGCCGTGAAGTTGTTTACTGCCTGCCAGTAAACCCAAAGTAGAAGAAGACGAAGTGACGTCAGCGGCTCATTTGCGTAATCTTCCCTCAGAGAAAAGTACTCCAGTGTGAACGCGATCTGTACTTAATGCCCTGGGGTCATACGTGCTGGGGCTCTGAGTGCCGGCACTAAATACGGCAAAGTACTTGGTGTGAACGCGGCTAATGGTGCTCTAGGAGGAGATTCAGGTAATATGGTGGGGGGGGGGGGGGTTACCTTGGTTGGTGATTGGCTAATGGTTACACAAGCCAATACATCGTTATGACATCATAAAGTGGCCAAAATCTGATCAGCTCATTTTCAGACAGGTTTTTATAGAAATGGATCAGGACAAAAAGAGAGAGAATCTTTGTTCCTGAAACTTTCAGAATCTCTTTACACAGAGGGGACACATGTTGATGTAGAAGAGACATGAAGAAGAGGGGACACATGTTGATGTAGAAGAGACATGAAGAAGAGGGGACACATGTTGATGTAGAAGAGACATGAAGAAGAGGGGACACATGTTGATGTAGAAGAGACATGAAGAAGAGGGGACACATGTTGATGTAGAAGAGACATGAAGAAGAGGGGACACATGTTGATGTAGAAGAGACATGAAGAAGAGGGGACACATGTTGATGTAGAAAAGACATGAACAAGTGGATTTTGCATAATAGGTGACCTTTAAGATGTTTTCCACAGTAAGTCTAACCCCTGACCTTGTGTTCTCTCCAGACCAAACTGCTGAGATTCAGAGTCCAGGTATCCATGGCAACACCGTTGTTAGTGACTCCGCCCACCACCAACATGCAGTCGTGACTGGCTGCGTGGTTTCCAGAGCCGGACTCGTGATTGGTCAGCATGGCAGCGGCGTGGTGGTAGCGAGGACCGGGAGTCGAGCCTTCCTCCAATGAGCTCGTCAGCATTTGGGTCCAACGGTGCTCCGACACAGAATATCTAAACAAAGCAGGGACAAAATGGAAACATGTAGACATTGCATGAGCTTTATACATACAGGGTTGACCACTTTTTAAGAGTACAATTCAAGAACTTCCAAGATACCATAACCCAAAATGTCAAGAGTCTCTATGCCTTTATAATCAAAAATAGAATTAACTGAATAATTGTTCACCCACAGAAATGAATGTATAGTGACATGTTGTTTATTTTTTTTCAGGTTAACTTTGGTTAAAAGTAAACAAATCATTACAACAATATCGGTATCTGTTCAAAAAATGTAAAAGAAGAAATGAACAAAAACAGATTATCCCAGCGGAGTATTAATTTACATGAGAAAATATCTCTATATTTACATTTAAAAGGTTAAATGCTCATGGCAATTCATTCAGTTCTGCTCTGCATCTGGTGATGCAAGGAGACAACAACAACATTTGACAACAGTATTGTGTCATTTAAAATACAAATATTTTTTAGGTTCACATGAGTTATGGTGTAGCTGAAACACCAGATTAAGTTAAAAATAAAAAAAATGTCAAAGAGTATAATTGAATTCAAGCATATCACTACACTTGAAAAGATAGTGGTAACAATTAAGCATTTTTCTAACTATTATTATCAAACCTAAAACACTTCTAGACCTTAAACTCAGACCAGTCTAAGGGTTACACAAGACGTACCTGTAGACATTACCCAGAATGCCCTGTGTCAGAGAGAGTCCTCCGTACATCCAGAGGTTTCCCTGCGGCCCGGACACCAGAGAGTGACCCATCCTGTGCAGGAACCTGTGGGCCTGGTTCTGTGGAGCAATGGGGCAAAATGAACGTGTGTTTGTGTGTACTATTAAAGAACCAGCAGATTGAAAAAGATATTTGTTTGAATGTTTACCACTGTTAGTTGTGTGTCCAGCAGTGTTTCCCACAGCAGGCTGTTGGAGTCGCGGGGGACAGAGCAGTCGGATCCAGCCCAGTTCTCTGAGCACACACACACTCCCAGAGACTGACACACACAATACTTTTGTTAGCAATCAAGGAAAATGTGTAACATGACTATCATGACCAAGAAACCTAATTTTACAGCTGTCTTTTTATAGATGGAGAAGAATGATATTGATTTTATTATATTTTACATGTACATTGTTTATTTATTCCTGCATTTTACTTATAGCATTGTATCACTTGCATTATTGTTGTTTATGTAGTAAGTATATTGTATGTTACACTGTTGGTTGGGCCTGGGACTTGGTAGTTCATGTACTTTGACCAATTATTCATAAACATTTAATCAAAATGGCTGTCATTTAATGGTTTGATTCTGCCAACTGTTTTTTTATTTACTAAGCTATTGTGCATGAAAATAAAACCTTAAAATGTAATCTTGAATCTTATGAAAACATCACAACAAATCAAATGGCAAAGAGTATAAGCTACAGTTTATAGTTTTTTCTAATTCTAAAAAGTATTTTTTAACTCGGAAACCATTATATTCTCAGAACTGAATAATCCCTGTGCCACTGAGACAATTTAGAAATGAAAACCAAATGTATACGTCTTGATATATAATCAGAATTCTTACTATATTACACGCTCCTCGTCCTTCTGCTACTCCACAGTCCTGAGGGCACATGGGCCGGTCGCAGTGGGGTCCTCCGAATCCCTGCGGGCACTGGCAGAGCCCCTCCTGGCACACGGCCCCCCCCGGACACACAGGAGACCCCTCTTCTCCGTCATCAGAGCTCTGCTGACAGCGCCGCACCCAGAAAGACGCGTTGAAGCCTTGAGGTTTGTTCGAGGAGACGTTGGCCTCAAAGTAGACAGAGATCACGCCTGGAGGTAACAAAGAAAAGACAATATACATTTGATCAAGCTAAGAGTTTGAATAAAATGTTTCAATGTTTGACATTAAAAGGACTTTCCCAATCCACCGAGGGGACTTGAGTGGTAGTTAATGTGATTAGAGGGATGTGTAGTAGCCCACAGCTACCACTACCGTGCTGTTTAGATAAGATATATTTTATTGATCCCAAAAACAAAAATCACAGCAGCATGTTAACAACGCATTGCATATTAGTTAAAAGAATAGTAAAATAAAAATAAACATAAAAAGTAAATATATGTATAACAGGAGGAAGATATAGATCTATAACGTATCTGAATAATGCAGAATATAAATGTCTATTATCTATTTCAGGTTTGTCCTACAGTAGGAAGGATCCTTCCTCTGTTGGTCTTTCCTAAAGGTTTAAAAAAAAAAATCCCATTAATAATTATGGGGATTATTTTAAGAATATCTTTCCTTGTGCACTGCAAGTGTCTAAGGACAGATGTCTCGAATGCTGTACAGTCTAAATAACTCCCTTAGACAAACTGGTAATATGTTATTTTGGACAGTATAACTAAAATAAAACTTGATTGACACCATTTCAATTGCTCAACCTTTGCTGTGGGTCTGCAAAGGACTTGTGTCGAAGCAGAAAGATAGTTACCTGAGGTGGCCTCCACTGTGATAGGCTCAGTCCTGGTGGTGCCACAAAATGCACCAATCAGGTTGTGATCTGAATGTACGACTCCATTGGGCAGGAAACGAGGGAGGCCGTCAAACACATAGACAAAGGAGCTCTGCAGAACAAAACATAAAGAACATAAGGTCAGTTATATAGAGAGGAATACTAACTATGTTTAATGCTACATCACAGCTAGCATGTTGTTTAGCTTGTGTGTATAATCATGGTATTTGTAGACTCACTTTACAATGCGTGTGGGAGTCAGGGTGTAGTGTGAGGGCCACAGGGGGGCACAGCTGTCTGGGTAGACATGGAGCCAGGTTCTCCGTCACAGACAGGACCCACAGGCAGTGAGAAAGTCCTCCTTTGCCCTCTGTGCCACTACGCCATCCCAGAGAGGAGGAGAGAGGCATGGCGGAGGAGGAGGTGGAGGAGAGCAGCACCGAGCGGCCCTGGCACTGACGGTAGCAGGTGCCATTGTTCCTGTTAGAGAGAGAAAGGAGTCAGGGTAGGGTTAGGATAGGAAATACAGAATCAACCAAAGACACTTCCACTGTTTTCAGACTATCTGTTTTTATCAATACCTTTTCATGATTCCTGATTTTGAATTGTTTTTGTTTAGATACAAATAAATGAGAATTTATTAATTATCAATCATCAAATGTCCTTGTTAGTATTTAATCATATGATATAGTCAAACTGCTTTTTAAGTCAAGCTTTATTGGAATAAAAAGTCTGATCCATGTCTTTTTATCTTAGCCAAAGACAACTATATATGCTGACATTTATTTTTATTCCTATTTTTTATTCATTTCTTATTTCATAGTTTTTTTATTATTATTATTTAAATTTTTATCTTGATTTTATTTTTTATTTTATTAATCTGTGTGAATCTGCTGTCCTGTTTTTCACCCTTACCCTGTTGCTGCTTGAACAACTGAATTTCCCCACGGGGATTAATAAAGGTCCATCTTATCTTATTTTGTTATAGTTTAAGTCAATGACGGCTGCTTTAATTTGAGTCTTTTTTAGATTTTTAGAAATGAGTCCAGCCAAAATATGAACTTGTGTCACTTTAAACTTCAACTTAAAGGTGGGGTAGGTAAGTTTGAGAAACCGGCTCGAAATCGCTAGAATTTGAAAATACACGACCGGAGAAAATCTGCCACTTCCTTATAGAGCCCCTCCTCCAACACACACGAACGCGCACATGACCAATGAGGGCACGAGATAAGTTTGTGCACAGATGGAAGGCTGACAGGCAGGTAGGCCATCCAGTTATTTTAGCCGGGCCGGCTCAGATGATTGGTCGTGCTTTTTACAGTACTACGGCTTCCACAGATTACATTTTTTATGGATTTTTTGTCAAAGCACTTAAGATATTCATTGCTATCGGGATGTTAAGAGCATTCCATGGAATATAACAAAAAGTGTATCTCGAGCCGGTTTCTCAAACTTACATACCCTACCTTTAAGTAAGGTAGGTACAACATTTACTGTATGCCAACAGTGAAGTCCTAATTTTCTATTATAGAATGGTTTAAAATATGACATTGTTGCTGCTTGTAGTCTTCCTTCAAATCAAATCAGGTTTTATTTATATAGCACATTTTAAAAACGATTTTTGGTCGAGCCAAAGTGCTGTACATGCAAATAATAAATAACACATTAATACAATCGCAAACAGAAGACAATAAGTTACAACAGCAAATATAAGTGTTAAGTATCCTTAACACTGGTAAAGGATGAAACTCTCCTCACCTGGGGTCTCCGTAGTATCCGGGCAGGCAGGACTCACAGTGCGGCCCCTGTGTGTTGTGGGTACAGTAGCACTGGCCGGTCTGGTTGTGACAGTATCCTCGCACAGGGTGACCGTGGCCGTTACACTCACACTGCACACAGCCCTCGCCTCCAGACAGCGCCGATCCAAAGCTGCCCGGGCGACAGTCCTCACAGTGGGGGCCGGTCGTCCAATCTGGAAGACAAAGGAAGCATGTCAGATGAGCTTAAATATTAAAAAAAAAATGCAAGGCAAGTTTATTTATATAGCACCGTTCAACACAAGGCAATTCAAAGTGCTTTACAAAAATGAAAGACATTAAGAGCATTAAGAAACATATTATAAAATGTCATTTAAAAACACTCATTTAAAAGCAATGATAATAAAACATGAATAACAAAGGTACATGAATTAAAGTGACAGTGCAGCGTGAGATACACACATCTGAAATGTTTAGCTCTGACTCTCAATCATTGCTCACTTTCTTTCTACTTTATTTTTTAACTTATCCTTTAGTTACTTCAAGTGTTTCATGCTAAACAAACCCCCTTTGGGAAAATTCTAATCTGCAACCCAATATTCCCGAAAATTCAACGGATCCTGGCCATAATTTGTGTAGCATATAAAATGCATTTGCTCCCAGATGTTCTGGCATGCAGTGTAATTTACAAACTGCGAATATGATGTTACCTCATAAATTGACCTGTTTCAGTATGAGATAAATACAAAAACATGACTTAACACAAGAGTTAAGTCATGTTTTTCCAGACCCCTGCCACAAACTGTTCACCCCCCTCCCCTCTGGCAGGAGGCTGCGCTCCATCAGGACCAAAACCTCTCGCCACCTGAACAGTTTCTTCCCGTCCGCTGCCGGCCTCTTAAACAAGGCCCGGCCCCCCGACTGACACAACGTAGAGAGTGGGTGTTTCTCAATGTCGAGGACGCTTGCTTGGTAGCACATGTCTTCCGAGTCACTTGCTTCAGAAGCGAGGCAAGAATCCTTCCTAGCCTCGGAAAACGAAGAATGGTGGAACAGGCTAACAGGTGTGCGTCATATGCGAGGCCCCGCCTTAAATGGAGCGCGATTTCCTCCAAAGATTTGGAAATTGGTCCGTGCGCAAAGCATTGTGGGGATTTTAAGACCGTGGAGTCTACACATGTGCAACTTTGAAATGTCCCGCTACGAAGTACGCCGGCCTCCGTAGAATTCCAAGCATCCTGGACATTGGAACAGTCCTTCGGCGGGACTCGATGGCGTAGCATCCTTGAAATAGTGGCTCTGGAGCAGCCTTCCCCCGACATTGAGAAACACCCTCTATATGCATTACATTAATGCACACAATGTTCAAATACGGCTTACTGCACATATTCTTATTTCATATTTTATATTCTATAACTCATTGCATTCCATTTCGCTGTAAATTACTGCTTTATTTTATTGCTATTTAACTATATTTTATTACAGTGTCCTTGAAGATTTCTTGTTTTATATTTTATGTATGCACCATGACATCAAGTCAAATTCCTCGTATGTGTGAACCTACCTGGCAATAAACCCGTTTCTGATTCTGATATTGAAATGAGTCGTATATTAAGGTCTCACCCTGGCATTCGTCACAGATCCCCGGTGCAGTGATGCAGGTGGAGTGGAAGTTGCAGCCACAGTCTACGTCACATTCGACCCCACTGAGGACCAGCGTGGCGGGGTCAGACGTCCAGCCGAGGGAGCATTCACACTCAAACCGCGGGCTGCCGCTGCACTGACCCTCACGGCACTCGTTGTAGCACCTGTGGGAAGGGGGGGAATTATTGTATTACCTTTTTTACAGCTGTACGAAAGCAAGCCTGATGACCAAAAGGGAAAGGTAAGGAAGATTTGAATGTTAAGACAAGGGATGCTTATTCAGATTTCTTTCCGATCGATAACCGACCCTTGTTTTTGACGCAGCCTTCTATTAAATGAAATAACTATTTATATTTTACACTGCACTGTAACTTTAATTATCGTATTTTACTTAAAATCTATTTTAGCTTGTTTGTATTCTCATGGCTTTTCAATTATTGTGTTTTTAAATGGTTTTATATATCATTTTATAATCTGTTGTGCACTATATGTTAATGCTTTTATTTATTTTTATTTGAACAGCCTTCTGTTAAATTGTGTTATATAAATAGTCTTGCCTGGTTTACTGATTATTAACCGACAAGACTGATGCACAAACAAGTTAAACCCATTTATCACCAGCTGCAATGTTTATGCAGGGAATATGCAGGAATCCTGAAGTCAAATGTAAAATCTTTTAAGACCTTTTTTAAGACCCTTTCCATACATTTTAAGACCTCATCGCCACTTGGAGTTTTAACCGGTTACATTGGCGACACACTTGACCTCACATTGACTATATACAGTATTGATTGTCCTTCCTCCTTATCTTCCAACCATTTGGACGCAAACTTGCATTTCCCCATAACGATGTTGTTTAACAACCGGCGTAAACGGACCTTCGCGCGCTATCAAGCAGTGAGCGTGCGATGTCCTGTTCAGATGACGTCAAATCCAACGGGATGCCATAAACACAGAATCACACTACACACCTACGCAATGATTACATTCAGGCAGACTGTAGAATACAACCTCTTTGGACAATTTATATACTTATTGAAAACAAGCTACAAAATGTAATACCTTGGAAAATGCCGTTTAATACTTTTTAATAGCCTTCATTTTGGCTAAATTGATTTATCAACTTTTAATACTTTTTAAGACCCCGCGGACACCCTGACTTATGGAAAACATGTGCGAGTCCCCTCTTCACCCAAAAGAGTTAGCAGCCATCTTGTTGCATGAAATGTCATGGATGGACACCATTTTGTTTTACTGTTTAACTGAAAGCATTAATAGTTAATTGTGAAAAGAAATGGCATCCTGTATAGTACTGGAACAACTCACCTACATAGCCAGAGGGAAAAAAAACGGTGGTATCCCTTACTGAAGTTTCTGGAAAGCCAAAGTAAACAGCTGCTTGGAAATAGTTGTATTGCTGAGTGCCTTTATGTTTGTCTTTAAATGCATTTGATTATTGTAATTGATTCATTTTTTATTTTATTATTATTTATTTTCTTGTCAGTTATTTTATTAAATGTTTTCTGGTCTTGTCACCTGGTGTCTTTGTTCTTTGCTACCTGGTTGGTTACGTATTGTACTGTATATTATACATGGATTGCCAACTAATTTGTACATGTCTTATTCACTCATTGTTAATATCTGTATTTGTGGATGTCATTGTTTATGTTTGTAAAAAATGAAAAACTCAATAAAGATATTGTTTAAAAAAATTAAGTGAATTATGAACAACCCTTTTGAGAGAGTAGGAGGATGAACAAAGGAACACTTCTTACGTCTGGTTGCAGTGCAGCGTGCCGTCCCCGGTGTATCCTCGCTCACAGTGGCACTCGTAGGAGGTGGGCGTGTTGATGCAGGTGGCGAAGGAGTGACAGTTGTGGAGACCCAGCCTGCATTCCTCCACATCTGGGCAGGTGGGGTACGACCAGATGGCATCTTGCTCTTCGTTTTCCAACAGCTCCAGCTCCATCTCCATTTCCAGAGGTCGCGGTGGCGCAGAGGTCGTAGGGTCAGGACTGGAAGAGAAGGAAAAAACAACAGTTTAATCTACCCAGTGGCAGATTTACTAAGGTATGTAAGCCCACATATCATTTAGAAACAGAACGAAATCCATATATTTATTTTTCAGATGTATACAACTGATTACATCAAAATATATTCTTTCATTACATAGACTGGGTCAAGTGGATTTTATTTATTGACGTGCTTTGCAAATGCATTTTTCCCACTTAACTTGGAGTAACTGTATTGTGAAAAACAAGATAAGGACTTCTTCCCTATCCAAGGACTTAACAACCAAAATACATTTACAACGAGTTCAATAATAAAAAAATAAATATATATATAATATACTAAGTAAAACTACCCAGATAACCTAAGACATTTTCTCGTTAGGAAATAGTTGTATGCTTACAGCAGGAAGTGTAATGAGACATATCTTACTTTGCAGCTCGTGCTTCAGCCACAGCCACACTGCAGTTATAAACTGAGGGGTCGTCCATTCCCCCCCAGTCTCCCTTCAAACATCTGAAAAAAATCATGGAAAACATGGAATAAATACAAGAAAAACACAATAAAGACTTTCATCAGGTGTGTTGGTGGTACATGGACTTTCTCTGTACAAAGAATATATTGTTAAAGGGATTTGTTGTACGGTTGCAATACTTACTTTCCAATTGTGGGATTGTTGTGGTCGCCACACCAGCCACACTGGAAGGTTCTCAGGCAGTCTGTGCACGTGTTTAAAGCTGAACATTGCTTACACTGGGGAACCGAATGAACACTGAAGAGGGAGAGAATAAGGAATGATAAAAATAAATATTTGATTAAGGTTGGTTTCAACTCATTGACTGACAAAATACAAGTAATTGCATTAAAATGCGAGTGTACTGCTGCATGTGTTCATGTTTAAATCACAGGAAAGCAGATAAATGCAAATACTCAATATGTGTATCGACTGTCAGCGAAACATGACAACAAATAAAGTGTTCAAATGTTCTCATTTTACCTGTCGTACCAGTCCCTGCACTCTCCATACGGGTATTTTGTGAGGTAGGCAGCAAAGTAGAAGCAGGCCTGTGCCGACTCACACCATGCACACTGGCTGGAGTTAGAGAGGCACTCACCACACGTCCTCCTCCTATGTAAGACGAAAAGATGTGCAGAGAGGAGAGGAGGACAACAATTAAGAGTTATAGTTTCAAGTTTCAAGGCTTTTATTGTCATGTGTGCATAGCTACAGTGTAGTTATGACAATGAAAATCTGAGGTCACAGGCTCCTCCAACAGTGCAACACAATAAAACAAGTAAAGTACAAGTAAATAAAATAAAATAGAATATAATAGAAACAGAATATGACAGAAACTGTGCAGAATAGTCTATATACAGTAGGGATGTAACGATATATCGAATATCACGATAAATAAATGTCTCGATACCGTCGTGAGACGAATATATTTTTTTTAAACCTTTATTTAACCAGGTGGTCCCATTGAGATGATGATCTCTTTTTCGACCGGTCCAACATGGCAGCAAGTAGGTTACAACATGAACATAAAACAACAGATAACACAAAAGGACGTCGTATTTACAGGGCCACATTTACATACCTAGAGACATTGACAAGTACCAACAGTATATGTATATCTCGCCCTGTCAATAAGCCTCACCTTCTTGGCAAAAACGGTATTGTTTTTGAAGTGGTGGAGAGACAATGCACAGTTTGACCCACTGCTGTCACCCATGGCCAAAGCATATCTCTCTGTCCCAGCAACATCAGTACCAAGCAAGAGAGTTTTTTCCACAGCAGGGGATATTGTAAACGCCCAAACATCCCAGCTTCTACCTGGAAATGTGGACATGCTCATATTCCTAAAAAATAACCTGTCTGATGATGCTGAGTGAGTGAGTTAGTGAGTTTGAGTTGAGTTACTTGAAAAACTAAAGTGAAACTTGATTTATTGTATTGCAGGGTCTGATTATTATATTGTTGACACTTTAAAATACTACTATCCTACTAAAATGCTGTACAAATCAGATTTATCATTTAATAAAGAACATTTTTTCAAGTAAAAAAAAAAAAAAAGTCCTAATAACATTTTCAAAAAAAGATTTTTCTTTATTTTTCAATATCGCGATAAATATCGTACCGTGGACTTGTTATCGCGATATTATCGTACCGTGAGTTTTTGGTATCGTTACATCCCAGTAATTGGAATATTGATGTATATGATATATGTGAGTTGCAAACAGATAAATGTTATGGATGGGCTATAGGCTCTTGTTGAAATGTCCTCTGGTGAAAATAAGTTGTTTTAACTCACTGGTTGCAGACTTTAGGACACACCCTTGGGTCCCGTATGGATCCATCTAGTCGTCCCCGTCGGCTGCACTGGTAGTCGCCTTTCTTGCTGGAGTTGATCTGCCACTCACAAAAAGTATCCTGCAGGCCAAAGTAAGGTTAGCATGAGTGCGAAACACAGCAGCTCCAAATTAAGTTATATAACATCAGCTGCAATGAAAACCTGTTTAAATGAGGCGTTACCTGAGTGCAAGCAGAGCAGTCTCTGTACTCCTCACACAGGGTGCAGTGCTGCGGTGCTAGCAGCAGATGGCGCTCACCATCTCCTCTGCCTTCCCCCTTCTCCCCCTCAGGGCAGGGCTCGATGTCCGGGGTGTCTCGCAGCAGGCAGCGGGACAAAGAGGGACACCAGCCGCAGGACTGGTCGGACAGACAGGCCAGGCAGGACATGTACGCTGAGCAGGACCCCGAGCGGTACGGCTCCAGGAACAGGAAGGAGATCTCCTGCAGGGGGAGCAAGTTATGGAGGAACGGTTTATCTTTGGTTTTCACTACTGAATGAAAAATACAGATGTGTAAATGTGCAAAGACCAATAAGTTACAGTTCAGTTGTGAAAATCATCGAACACCTATTATAGAGGCTACATTTGTTTGTATGTATAGGACAGGAGGAATTACTTTATGAAGGGTAATAAACGTAAACTTAGATGTTCAAGCTTGAGTGAGGTTTGCAGAGGTCCACAGGTATGGGATGAAATTAAAACACTATAAAAAGGTCTTTATCTGTGTCACTCCTTGAAAAGATCTTAAGGTTTTGAAAACACTTAATGGCTGGGGACTCATTAAACTAATAACCTTATTTTCCCTAGTGATGTGTATGTGTTTATATTATGTAACCTATTTTGAACCAAGGTTTAATCTAATGAAATTGATGTTTAGGGACCATTTAGTAGTTAGGGTTGGATAAATATTGTTTTTAGAGTATTTGGTTAGTGTTATAAGCGTGTAATGTAACACATTAACTCTCTCCAAATCTAGATATGTTGACATTATATCTAGTAAATAATTTATGTTTAGTGTCTGGTGCTTATCGGGTTGTCCCATTTCATATATCTCCATTATGTCTGATGATATAGTACTCACACTCCCTCCAGGTAATGTTCTGTTCCATATCAGGGCCATCTCGCTGGTCTGTCCCGAGCCCGAGTTGTTCAGGTATCCCTCCGCCTGAACGAGGTAATGGTTTCCCCTCGTCAGGTTAGAGAACAGTCGGCTCCCGTCTGTTCGAGCCAGCAGCTTCAACTCCTTCTCCTGCTGCGCTGCCCAGCGACCCACCACCTCCTGCTCCCATGGGATAGAGATGAGAGAGAATAAGAGAGAAAGTAAGAAAAAGTGGACAAGAGTTAAGAAAGGTAGGCAATAAATAAGTGCTGTTAATTTAATACACCTCTCAGTTATCTCGTAAAATGATAGGGTATGCCTGGTTAACTACTTTTTGGTCAAATAGCATTTAACAAATGAGGAAAACATCTTCCATTATAAGGCAGTGAATTCAATATTAAAAACACAATTACAATCTATTCAAATATTTTTCCTGATTTCATTACACTATTGGACAGGCTTACAGGTTTACTTTGACATTTAAAAGCATCAAAACTGTCAGAAAGATATACACAATATTAGGTTTTGTGATACTGTATTGACCTTCACAAATTGTATTGTTTTATAATTAAGAGTTTATATGCAAATATACATGTGGCTCAGATCTTACACAAAGTAGTGCTAAGATCTTGGATGTTACAGGGACTCTGATATTTGCAGATGAAGATTTTACTGTTTTAGTTGCATAATCAACTTAAACTCAGACTTCGTGCATATGGCACTTTATTCTTTAAACTGTGAATGTTTTGCAAAATAAATTCTTGTTTAAAAAGACAATATATATTGACTTTTTGTTACAGTACCACAACATTTCAGAATATACTTAATGGTAACACCCGTATCATGATACACTTTATATTGTTCTATTATTATTGTCCTTGCTGACACACAGCTCTATCTTATTGTGAGGTATGTTAGATAGTTATATCAACACACACTCAAAGAGGATTACATGTCCTGCACTGGTTTCTCCTGTGGGAATGCCTGCCTTGCATTAATGACTGTTATTCAACATGGGACTAAAATAACTAAATTTGGTAGGATGGAAACAATAATAAACAGCAATTTTTGCATCTTGTTGGGAACAGTGTTAATTTTGGGAGCTATTTTTGATTTAGTCTTAGTCGTAAGGCCCGGACACACCAGCCCGATTTTGGGAGTCAGAGGCCGTCAGAGGCCGTCAGAGGCAGTCGGGCATTCGCGGCGCCCTACTCAGGTTGGTGTGTCCCGCACCGTCGTCTCTTTACGGCACCTTTTCACACCTCACGCGGCCGATTGTTGAATCGGCCGCGTGAGGTCAGAGAAAGTCGGCCCAAGCAATCACTCTGATTGGCTGTTCACACTACCGCTGCCTGCTGGTAAGGCCAGTTATTGCCACTCGTCGACTGAAGTATTTGCGGTATGTTCGTAGGCGGGCGGCGTAGCGGGCGGCGTAGCCGACGCAGGCGACGAAGCTGACGTAAAAGTCGGGACGCCTTCGGTACGCGTTCTTTGGTCTCAGGTGGGTGTGTAGCGGCCTTTAGTTTTTAGACGAAAATGTTTGTTAGTTTTAGTCACATTTTAGTCCTTTTTATCCTTCATAGTTTTAGTCTAGTTTTAGTCGACGAAAACTCAAAACGTTTTAGTCCAGTTTTAGTCAAAATGTTTCCTCTCTTCAAACCAATTCAGTTAGCCAAACACAGGTATCTGAAACTGGAATCAATGTGAGCATCAAGTGTTGAAATTCGTAAAGCAACATTTCACTCTCTTAACACTTTACTTGTGTAATATCTAGGGACGGGTATCGTTACGGTTTTTAACGGTACTACTACTCTTAAAAATCTGTGTGCACACCGCTGCAGCGTCTGTTAGGCCCCGCCCCCCGCACACAGGGAGACACAGGGAGATCGCTCTTCTGGAGTGAAGAGAGCGGAAATAATGATATTGCAAGTTAGATACGTAAGATGCATTTTGACAGACGAGACGGACAATTGGGGGAAAATACTCTGCATTTTGAATGTCCGATAGTCCACCATTAACACCTTAGTCCCGTCTCATCTCGTCAACGAAAACTAAATAGACATTTCGTCATAGTTTTTATTATCAAGAATCTATTTATAGCTCGTCATCGTCTCGTCTTTGTCGTGTAAAAAAAGGTCGTTGACGAACATTTTTCGTCATAGTTTTCGTTGACGAAATGAACCCTGTTTGGGAACTCGTTTTCCAACTGCATCTGAGCAACACACACACAAATGCTGAAATGCACTTTCCCTCACCAGTTGGCTGGAGTTGGGCCCTGAAGCCATCCGAGCCTCAAAGTGGAGCCTCTGGATGCGAGCCCACATGGAGACACTCTCGATGGGAGGGGGTGCTGGTGGAGGGGCCCCCCATAATGGGTGGATGAAGCCCCTGAACTGTAGAGCTACGTCCATTTCTGTGGTGGGGCTAAGGATGATGGTGGTGCTGCGGAGGATGGACACCTGGCGAAGGGAGGAGGAGGATGGAGGATAGATGGAAGTGGAAACACATCAACAGAAGCACTACTCTCAACAAACTGCTCCACAAAGTTTGACAAAAACAACACAGACCGTACAAAACGATAAGAAAAAAGAGGGGGTGGTGTGCATTGGAGTCAAGAGGTTGAAAAGCAAGGAGCAGAAGGAAGTCATTAGAAATAAAAAAGGAGAATCATGATATTAAAATTGGAGAACTTGTTCGAAGTGTTGGAGGAAGGAAGGAGGGATAAGTATAAGCAGAGAGGGAAGGAGTTACAACCACAACTAGTACAGGTAGCACTTGAGATTTGGACTCCGTACCTTGTCAGGCTGGGAGTCGTTGCGGGGGTGCTGGAAGGTGAGCAGGTGCAGTCCCGGGACATAGTTCTCGGTGCGACAGGAGTGGAGGGAGGTTAGGAAAAGGGTACGCTCCCCCCACCAGCCGTACGCTCCTGAGATCTGGTCCACACGGCACGCACTTCGCTCTGTGAGACCGAGAGGGAGAGGTCAGCACACAAAGAACACATCTGACCTCTTTAAAAGCTCATCATTTCATTAAGTGTACTGAAAAAGAGTCTGATCTGGGACTTTTGTGAGGCGTGTGTTCAAAAAGAGTCGAATGGCAGGACCTCAGCGCTGCAAAGGAAGCATGGCATTGGACAGGCGAGTCAAATCACGGTCTGAGTAAATAAAAGCACAACAATCAATATATACAAAAATAACAGTCACTTGTACATTCTCAAAGATATTGAAGTGACTGTTATTTTGTATATATTGATTGTTGTGCTTTTATTTAGGTCTTAATGTGTGCATATGTATAAATGTGTCTTTGATTGTGTATATATATATATATATATATATATATATATATATATATATAGGTATATACATATTTGCATGCATATTTGTATATATTCGGGATTGTGGGAAACAGTATTTCGATCTCTCTGTACACACAAACTGGAATATTGACAATAAAGTTGACTTTGACTAGCCTGTCCAATCACAGCAGTAGTCGTGTCACTGTGCTCCAGCTCTGAAACACGCCCAACAAAATTCCCTCCCATGTCAACTCCCAAAATGTTTTTTTAGGCTTAGCCCCTCTCTTCTGCCCTCCTCCCTCCCTCCCTCCCTCCCTGAGTCTCACCTGACACTGGAAGGCAGGACTCGTTCTGGACACACCAGCCAAATTCACCAGGGGCCCGGGCCAGAGAGGCGGGGGTGCCACTGAATACCAGACAGGACTGGCAGTCAGACAGGAAGCGAGCCAGGCCAAGGCAACCAGTGCTGCCACACTGTGAACACAACAGAGGGGCTGTTCATTTCACCTTGTAAATCTGAAGGATACACATACAGACACATCGAAGGGAAAGAAATGTTTTTTTTGGTGTCTCCTGCTGTGGGAATAGAAATAGGAATACTATATTTTACTGTACATTTGCACTAGGGGAGTTGGATTATACCAGTGTTTATAGTTTTATATGGTTTTAATAATACGCATAATCTTCTGTAAACAATCCAGCTCCTCTTAAATCATTTTATATATGCATTTATGGTTAGAGACTCTCACTCTTCCTCCTTACACATTTTGGCCGGAATGAAATAGTCAAAAAAGAGAGAATTTGCACAATAAGCAAAGTTAAATATTCATTTGACTAATACGGTTTTATTTTCTTATAAAATTTCAATTAGATATCACCTTAATGTTGTTATTTTGAATTCTTTTGACCACAATATCAATGACATGACATTAAGAAGGTGTCACATTAAAGGCTATGATGAGGGAAATGTTACCGGATTAGTGGGCTGGTACTCTCGACAGCGGCCTTCACACCAGCTGCACTCGGGGTTCTTCAGGCACATACTTTCATCGAGTGCCTCAGCACACACAGCATCCTAACAAAACAACACAAACACACAGAGATTCACAACAATTGAGTTATCATAGCTGCAATTGTTCAACACAACATTTTCATTCTCTCTTATTGGTTTTTCCAATGATATGACTTCCACTTCTATTGTTTCATGACTCACCCTGTCACCCTGATCGCTACTGACGAACAGCGGAACTTTGTAAGCCACCAGGTCTCCATTGGCAATACCGTTGTAACCCCCGGCAACCAGCAGCACTTTTCCCTCCATCACAGCAGCAACGTGCGAGTAACGCCCCCTCACTGGATCCCCTCCTGAGAAAGAAAAAAGTAATGCTTTGTATGCAATGCATGTACAGATGTAACAACCACCAAGAAACAAGCTGGAGATGAACACTGGACTAAGTGTTGGAGAACTCACTGAGGGACCATCTCTCCCCAGCAGAAACCCACTGGTGACAGCCCAGGTGGTAAAAGAAGATATCCTCATCATAGCACTTCTCCTCTTGGTAATGAATATGCACATTCCCCCCTGGGAGAGAAAGGCAGGAAGGAAGAACATTAGCACGTCACTGATTAGAGTGAATTATGTCTGGCCATTTCCTCCATGCTTACCGTAGACCACCATGTAGTTTCCGATGACGGTGGCTGTGTGGAAAGCTCGCTCTCTGGGGCCGGTTGCTGGGAAACGGGAACGGAAAGATGTCCAGAACCGCCGGTCAACGTGGAACACGTCGGTGTTGTTCACCCTCACACTAAACCTTTAAAAAAATAAACAAGTGGACTTTTGGTGTGGATACAGATGCTGTTACTTACTTGCTGGTTAAACCTCAAAATGTTGGGTAACCACTAATGTTATTATTTTAAATCATTTCTACATCTACATGTTTCATTTTTACAACTTTGACTCAAGTCATTATTTTGGAATCTTAAGGTATAAATGGCTTGTGTATATGCACAAACAGAAATATATTATGTGCAATCCAAAAATCAAATATTGATACTCAAAAAATAGGCAGCAAACTGTTGCTTCCTCATAAACAACAACAAATATGTGTGGTCAAAATGTTCCTACTTGCTGTGTGAGGGTTACTGTTGGCTATGCTAATGCACAAGTGTGTGTACCTGGCAGTGGTGGGCCGGTGGCCACCGTAGACCAGCAGCGTCCTGGAGGGGCTGTGGAACACCATGGAGTGGCCCGCGGTGGAAGGGGGCTTCCCCCCGGTGGGCTGAACAGTCTCCCACCGCCCAGAGCCATGCAGGCCGAACCGATACAGAGAGGAAGAAAACATATCCTCCTCAGTGCGACCTGGGAAACAAGGAGAGGGGAAAATAAAAGATGCTGCTAAGTAGAATGCATTTTTCAAGGGATAAACTGTAGGTGTGGCAATCAAAACATAGACTTAAAGGTCCCCTATTATACTGTTTTCCATCAATATATTATAGGTCTCAGATATATACAAAACATGTCTCTGGAGTGTTTGGCTCCAAACACCAAACAGATCATTGCAGCATCCCATAATCCCCTCTGTTTCAGACCTGTTTCAAAAGTGCTGATTCTCTGTCTGTTACTTTAGATGAAAATAAGGAGCCCCTCCCCACGCCCCTCTGAGAGATATTTGGTTAAAAAGAATACAATGGTGCTCTAGGAGGAGATTCAGGTGATAATGTGGGGGGGGGGGTTACCTTGGTTGGTGATTGGCTAATGGTTACACAAGCCAAAAAATTGTTATGACATCATAAAGTGGCCAAAATCTGAGGTTTTCTTATAAATGGATCAGGACAAAGAAACTTTCAGAATCTCTTAATGCAGAGAGGACACATGTTGATGTAGAAGAGACATGAAAAAGTGGATTTTGCATAATAGGTGACCTTTAAAAGTGACAGTATGTTGTGAAACTTACCTCCAAATACATAGAGATAGTTGTCTACGACAGCTGCAGCGTGATTGGCCAGTTTAGGAGACCCACGCGAATTTGAGAAGCCGTGCTGCTGCCAGTCATCTTGGAGAGGCCGGTACATCCAGACGTCACTGGCCAGGGAGCCGTTAGCTAGCTCTCCTCCAAAGATCACCATGTTACCCGTCCACTCAACAGCTGTGTGGGAATGACGAGCCACCTGACAAGAGCGGAGAGTCAAACAGCTAAATGTTAAAGGATATTTGAGAAGATTACAAATGAAGCTCAGCGCAAGTTCAACCAGGAAGACCTTCTTTACTCATTAATTTACTATTTCCATGTTACTACTCTCTCTCCTCTCAATAAGTGATCGGGGGCGTCACTCCCCAGCTTAACCAATCACTTCGCTCTATTCTCACAAGCCTATCATAGCGCTCTGCTAAACCTTTTAAATCTGCTCTCCCCTCTGACAGCTGTCATTTCAGGTGACACGACGCAACCATCCTCCAACCCCTTTCACCTCCTGTCCCTCTGAATCCAGGGTCAAGCCAAGCCACTCCTCTTCAGACCAAACCCAACTATCTATTCACCACCACCAGTGTCTAGACCCCGGGGGGTTTCATCGGATCGGTTCTCCCCTCCCGAATGATACTCCTGCACAACGGGGCCTAATCGCCAAAACTCCATTACATTCATTTGTGTATTCCTGGCAATACATATGTATTCTTACATCAAAACCGTCTCTCCTGATTGAATGCACTGCAATCAGCTGATTACTATAAAACTTTCATCTCCACACTTCCACACAATATCATAAATCACATTACTGCACAACCATACATTTGATATCTGTTTTTATATCTGCCATATGTTTGGTTTCTTTGTCATAATATGCTTTGGGGCTGGGGAGTTTTTTTTACCACTGAATCTCGACTGACTACTTCTTATTCAAATAAATTCTAGCTGTGCTGACTAAGTTTCTATAAATACTCTATCATGATCAGTGGCGTAACAAGGTTGTGATTGGCCCCGGTGCAAATATTGTTTTGGAAAAAAAACGGTCTAATTTTGTCAGTTTAGCTGTTACATCTCCTTGTTCTCTCTTGTCCTTTCTCTTTTGAGCGCCGCTCTTGTGCTTTGGTTTGCTGTACATTATAAATGCAAGCTATTCGATTTTTTATAATGCTGCCGAACTTGCTGCTGCTAGCTACAGTACAGTACAGGTTGATTAAACGGTTCTCTCGTCACGCAAGGTATCACATGATCATGATTAAGGAAGCAAAGTTTTTTGTTTTCATGACGTTTGAAATATAAGGTTTCTGCAGAAGGCTGAAGGTAACAAAGCCCTTATATGGAAACAAAACATATGAGGTGTAAAAACAGGAAGAAGCACAAACAGTATGCGTGCGTGTGTGTGTGTGTGTGTGTGTGTGTGTGTGTGTGTGTGTGTGTGTGTGTGTGTGTGTGTGTGTGTGTGTGTGTGTGTGTGTGTGTGTGTGTGTGTGTGTGTGTGTGTGTGTGTGTGTGTGTGTGTGTGTGTGTGTGTGTGTGTGTGTGTGTTAATACACAAACTACTTACAGGAGAGTGACCATAAGACCGGCTTTCCCATTGGTTGGAGGAGAAGTTATATTTGATCAAGTCACCAAGAGCTCTATTCAGGTCAAACCCTGTGGGAAAATAAGTAATAATCAAATGTACATCGAGGTTATTTATCATCATAACACTAGCCAGTAAAATCAAATGAGGGACTGCAGCTGAAATAAAGGGGTTGGAAGGAGGACTTTATTCCCTTTATATTACATCAGTAGAAATTACGAGTATCTCACCGCCAAACAAGTACATGGCTCCAGTGGAGGACAGATACACGCCAGCAGAACCCGTCCTGGGGGGCGTGTGGGGGTTTCCTTCACTCACCCGCCACCACTGCCCCGCCCCACTGTCGTTATGAAAACCAAGCAGGCAGCTCTGACCCAGGAAGCTAGGGTTACATATGCAACGCTCCCCTTTCTGAGACAAAACATTGGAGAAGAAAAATTGTTTAAGACCACACCGCACAACAAACAGGCGTAATATAAGCTTATTTAGGGGAGGATGAATGACCCTTCCGTTGGACACTGATCGCTTTTGTTATTATTAAACCTTCCCCATCCCTACTCTTACGTTGTCACACTGGCCATTCACAGAACAAGCCTGGGAGCACAGGTAGGTTGTACAAGCTGCTCCTCCCCAACCCTGATGGCACTGGCACTTTGATGTGGTGGAGTCACAGCGACCACGGCCCCCACAGGCTCCGGGGCACAGAGAGAAGGTGTACGTTGCATTATAGCCCAGGAGGTTGTAATTAGCGTCACTGAAAAGATGAAGCAGCATCTGGAACAAGGAAATCAAATAATAGACACAAAATGATTATATGCCATAGTTATAACGCTTCAGAGTTTCTTTCATCATGCTTTCATTAGTTACCTTGCCAGACTTGGCTTCAATGGGTTCAGGCAGAGTGTTGCCACTCAGGCTGGCTAGAAGAGGGCTCTGGTAGGAGTCTCCATCATACACAAACAGGTAGTCATAGGTACACTCTGTGTCCATGAAGGTGAAATTTAGGACAATGCTGTGACTGCTGCTGGGGGCTGGAGGATGTATAAAGGTGGGAAATATCTGTGAGTTACAGTCTTCGGCATTTATTCATAAATGTTTCAGCGAACAAGACACACTCTTATACCTTTGATAAGCCACTCGCAGTTCCCATTGACAGAGTAGTTTCCTGGTCCATCTGTGACGTAGCCTGGTGGTCCCCTCAACACCTGCCTGTGGCCTTTGCAGTCCCCTGCCTGGCATGGAGACTCAGCCAACAGCAGAACCACCAGGATGATGGAGACAGGCAGGGGGGAGGCCATCACTGGCACTGCCTGAATAATGACAGGTAAATGGTCAAAGATAACAACTTTGTGTGGGTCCTCCTAGCAGATATATCTTTAAAAATATGCATCAGCCTCATGTAAATAAATATGACAGCAAAAAAATATAGGATTATTTCTAAGGAGGCGTTGTGGTCACAAACAACCTAATGTGGCCATGCAAGTCCCCTGTCCGTTTGCATAATTCCATTCTTGCTTCAGTATAAAACCACGCAATCCTTAAGACAACTGCAATGTCATGCAGACTGTAGAATAACACACAACCAAATGTGATTCAAGTGCTAGTGATGTAAAGATATATAGTACATTTACTCAAGTACTGTGCTAAAGTACAATTTTGAGAGGCTTGTACTTTCCTTGAGTATTTCAATGTGTTGCTACTTTGTACTTCTACCCCACTAAAATTCAGAGGTAAATAGTGTACTTTTACTCCACTACATGTATTTAATATCTTTAGTTACTTTGCAGATTTGGATGATTGATATGAAATATAATCAAACACTTACATAAGACTTTAGTTACACCTGGAGTTAATTCACAAGCTAGCCTGCAGTATACAACGTGATTAAAACTAGTTGCACCTTTACCAGCTTTGATAACACTTTAATGCATCAATAATCATAATCAAAACACATTATGTATTATTTTGAAATGGATCAATCTGCACAATGATTATTTTTACTATTGGTTCTTTAAGTATATTTGTATGCTAATACTTTTGTACTTTTACTTGAGTGACATTTTGATAGCAGGACCGTTACTTGTAACAGAGTATTCCTACACTCTGGTACTTCTACTTTTACTTAAGTACAAGATCTGAATACTTTTTCCAGCTCTGGGCCCTTCAAGTCCCCCATCCGTTTGCATAATTCCGTTCTTGCTTCATTAGCAAACTACACCATCCTTCTGACAACTGCCATGTCATGCAGACTGCAGAATAACACAGAACCAAATGTGGAACAATTGCAATGCAATGCTCAAAACGGCTTAGACGCAGCCTATAGAGAGAGAGAAAAACAGATACTGATGAAGCTAACAACTCTAGCCCTATGTACAGTACCGTTAGCCCACTAAACAGTGCACCAATCTTACAAACATTAAAGTGACAACAATACAATGTCCACACATGTGGAGATTTATCAAATAACAATGCTATTCAACAACACAGAGGGTTTTATATCCAACAAGATAAGAGATAAACACTGGTATCAGCAACAGGGGCTCACCGCAGGCTATCACAACAAAGCTAATATGCAGAGGTTGCTAAGCTCAGAAAGCTAGCTGAATACCGTTAACAGAAAGAGGCCGTTAGCAGGTTAGTTTAAACATTTTCATCATCATACTCACCAGTTCCCGTCTCTTTGCCTCCATGGTAATTTACATGTTCTTTGACTTGTGAATGCTTGAGACTGAGAGCTAGCTTATAGCTAATGCTTCGACAAAAATGCAGAGGACAGGATCTGCTAAACTAGCTTGTCGGCTAGCTAGCGCTAGCGGCTAAATTCCAGATGCGCAATCGGCAGTTGCTGCTAAATCTACCAAGAACCGTCCCTCTTGAGAGTAATTCTTCGTTATATATTTAGGAAATTATGTTTCTTAGCCGTTACAGCAGGAGGAAATGCTGCCAGCTAACAACGAACCCACAGATCGCAATCGACCCGATCCCTGCAGTCCATCCCAGGGACAGATGCCCGTTGTTTTGGTGTTTATGGTTGGCTAGCAGCCACCGGTGTTAGCCAACAAAAAAGACAGCATGTCCACCACCGCCATCCAGCGGAGAGATCAACGACTCAACATCTGGATTTCTGACATTTTCATTTAACAGACAGTATGTCGAAAGCATAGTCTCTATTTATGTATAATGTACAAACGTTTCAGCAACCATCACTGAATTGTGTGTGTGTGTGTGTGCAGTGGTGGAAGACATTCTCAAAAGTAGTAACATCACAGCGATAGATGAGATAAGATATACATAATTTGAAAGAAAATGGGGCACAGCAGCATAGAGAAAACATTGCAAATGAATTAGAAGTAAATACAATAAAATAAAAATAGAGGGGAGAAAAACTATAAAAACAAAATAAAGATATACATAACAGCAGTAGAAGATAAATAAAATACCCAAAACAGTGAATAGGCCTATATAGATATCATTAATGAGGATATGTATCATTACCCCTTGTATGATTGTTTATGTGTTTTTATTGTGTGTCTGTTTGCACACTGTGACGGGGTTGCACTCAAAAATCTCATTGTACTGTATATTTGTGTATGATGACAATAAATGCTTAGATAGATAATCAAATGTGTCCCACAGAGCAGCATTTTTTGAAATCGTGTAAGGACAGTTAATGTGCTTTTAATCAATAAAGAAAACTAATTCGATTTTATTGGTTTTTATTAAACAAGTGATTACATGGAGACAGCGAATACAGATTGTGGATAAAAACAGATTCAGAGCAGTAGTAGTAGTAGTAGGCAATAGCATACAAGCTGTCACTGAGCATGACTACTTCCAGGCCACAATTTGTGTAGCGAGTGATAAAATATACAACAAACCAAACAGCACAGATCGGTTAACATTTTAAACCACAATATTTGAGTAAAAATAACAACATTATATAAAAGTACAACAAATGATTTCCCCAGCATAAAGGCAATTCTTTCAATTGATTCTAACAATTGTGTAAAGTAAAAATGTAAGGATTACGTAACTACTATAAAAGCACCCAAATCTAGTAAAGCAAGCAACCTAAATACATTCACATTTGTATTTATTGACCCTCAGATATCAAAAGATGGATGTCTAGAGAGATTTTTTTTAACCACTTCAAATGTGATCAGTTTTGGCACCAGCGTCAGCCAAGTTCCCAGTTATTTTGGTGTCATTTTGTATTCGTTTCTGTCCATAGTAATGTAGCGACAAAAGAGTGATCAACCCACTTTCCTCCAGCTAAGGCACATGTCAACATATTGGGCTTTGATTATCCTCTGCTTTCTCAAAACAAATCATCACGTCTCAGTTTAGTTTTTTTAAACGACATCAGTATTCAGAAAGTAATTTCTCAAATGATGCATCATGCAGCTTGACAGGCTCTAATTCTCATGAGTCCCTTATGCCGAACCTGAAATATATCCTTATCGTCTTTTATGTACTTTGAATTAGAAATATATTTTATCTCTAGAATTTTTAATTTTAAGTTTTATTTTATTACATATATTATATTCTTACATATATATTTGTTTTTAGTTTTAGCATTGTTAGAGGGACTCTGAGACTTCCATAGCAAACGACTGCTTCTGTGTTATTGTTGTTTATATGATAAACAAAGAACTTGAAAAGGAATTATACGTTAACTAAAAATGTAATTTCTGAATTTTCCAATTTATAAACTGTTTATTTTATATTTAATTAGATTTTTTACATGATTATCTATACACTGATTGTTTTTCTCAATTGTATTGTTCAATCCCTTATTATTTTGTATCCTTTATTTGCTACATTGACTTGTAATCAATCAGTGTGACTGATAGTGACATTTTGTTAAATGTATCTTACTTTAAAAAGGTTGTGTGTAAAAAGGTTTTTATTCTTATTTCCAATCCTAGTTTTGTAAATCGGCCTATGATGTGTGTACAGCTATCTTTCCCTGAGGCAGAACCGTAGGACTACTATAGAGCCCAGGGCCGAAGAGAGGGAACATCTCCTCATCAAACTCGTGTGTTAACGTGACAAGGTGCTTCGTCGTGCCCCCATCCCAAAATGACACCTCTCCCTTATCCATGTTCAGCTTGATGCGGATCCTCTCGGGGCGCTGCTGCACCTGCAGCTCCGTACGCTCAGGGGTGGAGACGGTGTACACGCCTTTGCTCAGTCCAATGGACCACACACCTCGGTTAGTAGAGACTGTGAACTTCTTCTTACGGGGCACGGACTCTTTGCACACTCCCACAATCCACTTGGGATTGTCGCCCACAATGACGTCCCATCTGTGTTTCCCTGTCTTGTAACCTTCAGCGCCCAGGACGAAGACGCAGGGATCGAAGCGCTGCGGGTTCTCAGGGACGGTGAGCCGCTCCGAGCTTTCCTTCACAGAGGACAGGTCTGGGTTCAAGGAGAGCCAGGGAGAGGCGGTGTTGGGGTCGAACACCACTGGGTCTGCACACAGGAGGAGACAATATTATGTTAAAAGAGCAATCTTTCCCACTTCGTTTTTGCTCCTTTCTGTCCTTTGGTTTACGCCTGACCGACGCGCTCACACATCACACAGAGAGATATTGTTTGTTTGTTTCGGTACATTTATTTCCATCTTATCCTTTACATGTATTTTCTTCACTGTTCTCTTCTTTTAACACAAATAAAAGTGTCTTAACAGACGATGATGGAGACAGTTACGTCACATAAAATAAACAACTTAAACTCATAATTTCTCTGCAGTGCAGTGGTCAAAAAACCTTATCAAAAACCAAAATGAACGCAGAGTATCGTCAGCAGGACGCTTTTGTACCAGCTGAGGCAATCACAGCGCCAATCAGCTGCTTTGTTTAACCGCGTGTGCGGATCACAATAAATTGACATTAATTAACAACCTATTCCATTCCATAACCAATATTCAACGCATAATTCAACGATTAAATAATCAAAATAGTAAATCAACATTTTGGCTCCTATATATGTATTTAAATTAAAGTAAAGTAACATTTGTTTGGTCACATACAATGTTTTTAGACTGGGGGGAAAAAGGCAACTTATGGACAAATGTAAGATTCTGAATCAATTCACAACTTCCAAAAATCAATATTTAAAATGTTTTTTCTTTAAAGCTAAGTCAAAATAGTGTTAAGCATGTTTGTGTGAATCGTAGAAAGATCCCACAAAATGTCTGAGAAATAAAAAGAGCGCTAGACTACGCCAACCAATTATATTCATGTAACATGCAGCATTTTTATTTTATTGTATAACCTAAAAGTTATTTTATTCCTAAAGAATAAAGAAATGTGGGTTGTGTTGAAATTATTGTAATCAGTTGCCGTAACTATTTCAAATATAAAACAGCATTATCTCATACAAACTTTTAGCACCAGCACAAAATTAGCCCCTTTTTTAAAATCTAGAAATAATTTTTAAATGACTCATGACCACAACAATCAAAAATGATCGTGAGACACAAAAGGTTTCACACCCCTATTGAAGGTGGTATTTTTTTGTGCCAATATTTAAGTCTGTGTTAACTTCGAGACCTAAGTTTCAAGTAGATCACGACACATTTAATGTCCGACACCAAGGTCTGAAGAAATGCTTTTTGTTGCCAAATCAATATCAAACTTATTAAACAATCACAAGTTCAGTAAAGACACAAGGTTTTTTAAACCGCAGGCCAATCCCAACTCCCAGCGTCGTTTACTCACTATATTTGACATGGGCCTGCAAGTTCTTCCAGATGTTGAAGCTCAAAGCACCGACATGTTTGCCCATGTTCAAAACCGAGTTGTAAGGGATGGAAGGGTCGTCCTTAGTCCACTGAGCTCTAAAGCAAAGATGGCAATAAGAAGTTAACAAACACTTCACACAATAGAATAAAGACTTAAAGATTTAACAGCACACAATATTTTTGATTGCCAGTGTATTTTGCGGATACTTACTCTCTCTTTAACTTCTGGAAATTCTAAAAAATAAAAGAGAGTAAGTGAGATAAGTTAGTAAGAGACAAATAAGGTACAGTCATATGCATTTCATAACTTTGTGCCTCCTCTTACCTTCAGGAGGGGAAGATCGTCGTTGCTCATCTCTTTCTTCAGGGTTTCAGAGAGCGCCTTCAAAGCCTCGATGTCCTCGTTTGCTTTGTCGATCTTCCCCTGTATGCTGGCGATCTTCTGCCCCTCGTCATCGGACAGGGCTTTGAGGCACAGAGCTTCTTCTGCGACCAGCGCCTTGTGCAGCCTCTCAAACTCAGCCTTGATCTGCCTCTCTGCCTGCTCAGCTTGATACTGCATGGATTAAAGAAAAGAGATATTACTTAAATAGTTTACATACAAGAAGGAATTATAATTGTATGTGCCGTCTCCATCCTCCAAATATTTAGCTATGTAATAAAGACCTGTTTGAGATAATGTTCTATTTTACAAGATTTCATTGCAAGAAATTATGAAATTATTCTTTATGGCAACCATTTTTAAGCTATATAAAAAAGTGTGATGCTTTATTGGAGATGTGTACTACCCACCCCATGTCATATAGCTTACTTAAAGGTGGGGTATGTAATTTATTTCAGATACACTTTTTTTTTTATTCCATGGAATGCTCTTAACATCCCGATAGCAATGAATACATTAAATGCTTTGACAAAAAATCCATAAAAAAAATGTCATCTGTGGAAGCCGTAGTACTGTAAAAAGCACGACCAATCATCTGAGCCGGCCCGGCTAAAATAACTGGATGGCCTACCTGCCTGTCAGCTTTCCATCTGTGCACAAATTTATCTCGTGCCCTCATTGGTCATGTGTGCGTTCGTGTGTGTTGGAGGAGGGAGTAAGGAAGTGGCAGATTTTTTCCGGCTGTGTATTTTCAAATTCTAGCGCACTCGAGCTGGTTTCTCCAAAATTACCTACCCCACCTTTAAATGTATTAATTTTTGGTTTCATGTTTTTTCTCATATTAGATTTATTTTTAGGAAAATGTATGGCTTCAAGGATTTGATTACTAACAGTAAAGAAATAAGGATGCGGGCTGTGTTCAGAAAACATATAAGGGGGCATGTTAGGGTCCATCTATCTAAATCTATATATGTGATGTATTGCATTTAATATGACTTTAGATAACAATATTAGGAATCTGAGCAAAAAGGAGATATTTGCAGTCAATGTCCGGGGCAAATGACTTAACAAATCCCTGTGGGGAGCTCCTTTCTCCACAAAAGTCTGAAGGTAGCGGACTAGTTTTGCATCTTTTTTATTAAACTATATCAAAGATTATACACAGATGTATGTAAGATGAACCCAGTGCGATGTGACAGCAACTTTACCTTGACGTATTCCACTGAATTGCTGAGTTTGCGTGTCCATTTCTTGTACTCCTCCACTTTCTTTTCAAAAATCTGGACTTTGAAGCTCAGCTCTTTCTGCAGGGTGGAAAGCAGAACATCAGATAACCAAAAGAAGACATCATTGTTATTGAATCGGCAAAGCAACATATTAGCATGAGCATGCAGTTTATTACAAGTATATCTTATTATTCAAATCATCAGTGAAAAAATGTCATGAGGGGAATACCACACAAAGCTTAATGGAAAGAAAATCCTTTTGTTTTTTTCAAGTAGACGTATTGTTGGATGTTTTAATTCAAACTACTTGGGCACCGTTGAACTTTAAGTATATGTTGATGCATGTATACTTTTGTACTTTTACTTGAGTAACATTTTGAATGCAGGAATTTGACTTGTAACAGAGTATTCCTACACTCTGGTACTTCTACTTTTACTCAAGTACAAGATCTGAGTACTTCTTGCACCTCTGTCAGGCCCACATATAGAAGCTGCAGTATCTCTCTAATGTGCTTCTGGTGATCTCTGTACTTTTCCTTGCAGGTTTGAAACTAAGTGCTATCAACGAATAATGTTACCTTTAATTAAATACTTATTTCAGAGACCAAAACACCTATATTGATAACTTCTGAGAGTACTTTACCTTACATATCGGAGCCCCATCTTTGAGTGAGAAGAGCTTGTGTGTGTTGTGCATGGCCACACAGTCCACACACAGCGGCTCCTCGTCCTTCTCGCAGTACAGCTCCAGAGGCCTCAGGTGCAGGTTGCAGGTGTCTTCCTCATTGGGAAGCTTCCGGGTCTGCATCCAATTAGACTGCTTGAGGAAAGTCTCGCACGTACTGTTGAGCGCGCGGTTGGCGATGGCCTGCGATTCCTCAAACAAGGTTCTGCACACGGGACACTTCTTGTTCACCTTCGCACTGTTATGCAGACACTCCCGACAGAAGCTGTGGGTGCAGGGCAGCAGCATGGGGTCCCGGAAGATGCCCTGACACACGGGGCAGGTCAGGTCCTGCCGCAGGGGTTGAGCCTCCTCCGGCATTTCTTCGTCAATACACTCAGCCATGGATCCAACACTTCCTTTCGAATTCGAGAAACGCCCAAACTCAGGATTATACACAGAAAAATACGCAGTGGCCCGGATGTGTGATGTGTTAAGTCTTCACCAGTTAGCTTACGATCAGATAAGATAATAAAAAGTAGTATGTGGTAGTTTTAGGAAGTATAAAACTCCTCAAACTGCTCTCGCACTGCACTCGAGTTAGTTCTGTGCCACTCTCTGACTCATTTCCGTGTTTCTGAGACAGACTGCAAACCTGACGAGGGATAAAACACTGCTCTCTAGCGGACCTGGAGGATTTTACATAGCTTTATTATCCGTTCTCTCTGTGGAGGTCTGCACATCTGCAAGAGTTTATCTACAATAAGTAGGGAGAAAAGTCAGGGTGCAACTTTATGAAATATGCTGTTGTCATACGTTAGAAAAAAAATCGGTAGTAAATGTATCTCAAGGATCACATGTGTAAAAATATCAAGATGCCCATTTGTTATGTAATGCATTTATTATATAGATTTGATGTGATTGTGTTGATATGTGCATGTTATATATGTATTGCCAGTCATCTGTCAAATTTAATTTCCTGTTCCAATTCAAGCATTACAGGGGTCTGATATGTCATGCTAATGAAGCTTAATCGACTTTGAATCACTTTCTGTTGTTGTAATGCAAATAAATATACAAAAGCCTAGACAGCTGAATTAGAGACAATACTCTCCTAAACATTAACATTATGCAATTACAAATATACCATGAAAGCACACAAACACACATTGTCATCACAGGATATGCCTTTTATTTATTTTTGCACTTTATTCAGCTGTTTTACTAAACTTGATTAACCCATGAACCTAACTCAATTCAAACTTATTTCAGGAATAACGAATTTCATACCCTACTAATCTCACATGTCTCTCTTCTGACTTTCATGACATTTGGCACATGTTTTTCATGAGGTTTTAAACACTTCTCCTGAACCCTTTCACGCATAGAGGTCACTACAGTGGACAGCTATTCAAAGGGTGTTTTCTTGTATATGCATGTTTTTTTGTTTTCATAGTTGCACCATCAGCCACTACATACAGTAGGACCCTATTGCATCATCCCATACACTTCCACTTGGTGGAAAGTCAGTGCAAGTGCATGATAAATGTCTCTAAACCAAGATGAACGACAGAAAGCCAGATGGACCAAGTCACCTGCCGATATCCTGCCAATCCTTTCATGGAAAGCGCTCCCTGCAGGTATAAAACATTTGGTGACATCAAGTAACAACTAAGGAATCATATAATTCAAAAATTGTCAAAGTATTGATTTTATGTTTGCAGGAAATCATGATTATTCGCCTGTCCACGTCATGCATCACTGGCTATATTTCAACTAAACTTCATACTGTTACTGCTACTGTTCTTCTTGAAAATACTTCATTTGCAATATCTTTTTGGGCCTTAAAGCTCCCATGTCATGCTTTTCCGGTTATTACCCGTCCCCTTGTGTGTTATGAAGGTTTTTATGCATGTAAACGGTGTGCAGAGTCAAAACCCTCAAAGTACACCCTGTAGCGAGTAAAACTCTAACACAGAAAATACCTCCCCAAAACGCCTCGTTGGAGATACGTCACTGCCCATTTGATTCTTCCGGGTACCGCATGATGTCATGCGGTACCCGGAACGAAATGGACCAATCCCGAAGAGCTATGGCCACACCAGCAGCGGCGTGTTCCTCCTCCAGAGGTTCGAAGAACCGGCATTTCACAGACGAAAGCTTCCAAAACATTGCCCAGTTTGAGGCCGGATATGCACAGCTTGTTTGGACCGTTTGGAGCAGGGGAAGATCTGGGTATACAACCTGTAAGTTTGCATTGTTATTTGTGTATTTATCAAACAAGACTGTTTAAATGTGTAAACTGTGTTGGACTGCTAAGCCATTGACACAGTGCTAACTAAGTTGCTAGAGTTTCCATATATCAACTCTAATATCAGCAGATGGCCTTGCATACATGTATCTCATAGCAGGAGAATGTCTGCATTCACACACAAAATACCTATTGACAGTATACTCCGGGTGATTTGCCGGTCAGTCGCGAAACGTAATTACATTATAGCTGGCGTAGCGATCTAACACACGGAGCTAGAGCTAGTTTCGGTCAGAAAAACATTTTTGTGATGCTACGTTGCTAGCGTTTAAATATATCAACTACAATGTCAGCAGATGGCCTTACATGTTTGTCATGGCAGGAGAATGTCTGCAGTCACACACACGGAATACTCATACAGTATACTGTACTGTGATTTACCGTACATTGTGACCGTACATATACTGCATGTAGCTAACGAGGCTAGCTGTATGCTAGCGCAAAACAATGTATTCATGCAAGTTACATTGTATGGTAGCAGAATACCCGTATACGATTGCAATTATAAACACGTTATTGCTAGCCTAATATGAACCACTAGCTTTTGTTCATAGTAGTTTTATTACACTGCATTATAGTTGCCTTTCCTCCAAGCTAACGTTCATATCGTGTTAGCTACCAAGGTAAACAAAGCTAGGTTAGCATATTAGCAGGCAAGCTGTTCATTACACAACTACTACTAACTAATCTAAAACAACTAAGTTTCTCTAATATTTTGTGATTTGCATTTGATTTCGTCCAGCCAGATCCTGGCGGACAATCCATGACGGGGAAGGGATTCTACTACTACTGAGGGTGCTAAAAGGCACCGCACCGACTGTGCGCAGGCAAGATGCGAGGAGGAGGAATGAATGATATACCGTGTGTATATATGTATATTTATGTTCATTTTGTACATTTCTAAAAATAAAGTTTAATGGAAATACTTAGTAGGCCTATCCTTTCTTCCCTGAATTCATATATAGCAAACCATGATTTGATTTCTCATCAAACAGTAGTAGTTTATAACGGGTAAAAATAACTTACTCTTTGTTATGAGAGTAGCTCGTAGGCCACAACGGAAAGACAAGGAGACATACACGAGTTTACAAAACCACGGCACATTTATTGTGGTAAATGCAAAGATAGGTGGTTGAGAGGATCGCAGAGTTAGTCTTCCTGCAGCCGCTTTGGAGAGAGACTGTGTCCGGAGGTGTCCGTGATCGTGCTGATTAGCCTCTTCAGCTCCACCCCATCGTAAGACAAAGGCCCTGGGGCCGTCACACTCTTCTATAACAACAGTTAAAAATATATATGTATATAAAATATACCGCTGTACCGACGCCATGATAAGACTGATGTTACGCTGAGAGCAGCCGGGAAAAGCACTGACATGGGCGCAGCCTCTCTGGTGGTTGACTAATCAGAACGAGTGGCCGAGCTGACCAATCGGAGCACACTAGGCTCACAGGGAGGGGGGGGCAAGAGCTCCAACGAGTTGTTTAGTGGAGAAAGTGAATACTGCTGAATACACATGCTTGACAGAGATGCTGTATGCGAAACCAATGTGAGTTTGGAAAATTGCACAGTATAAATCTATTTTAGTATACCTCAACAATGTAATTATGATCAGTGGAAATGGCCATGACATGGGCCCTTTAAATATATATACTTAAAGGTGGGGTAGGTAAGTTTGAGAAACCGGCTCGAGAGACACTTTTTGTTATATTCCATGGAATGCTCTTAACACCCCGATAGCAATGAATATTTTAAGTGCTTTGACAAAAAATCCATACAAAAATGTCATCTGTGGAAGCCGTAGTACTGTAAAAAGCACGACCAATCATTTTAGCCGGCCCGGCTCAAATAACTGGATGGCCTACCTGCCTGTCAGCCTTCCATCTGTGCACAAACTTATCTCGTGCCCTCATTGGTCATGTGCGCGTTCGTGTGTGTTGGAGGAGGGGTGAACATATAAAACATTTTTTTTCTAAATTTGAAAAAACTAGATTAAAAAAAACTAAAGTTAAAATCTTGTTTTTAATGCCCCAAGAGCAATAAAAACACTTGGTAAAACAATCCTGAGTGAGGCTTTCATAATTCATGCATGAAAGGGTCAACCTCAGGCTCTCAGCAGAGCAGAGTGTATGAGAGGACCATGGGAGCTACTTGAACCTTGAATTCATCACAATGCAAGATAATTAGTCTTATTCGTTAGATATTTATATTCAAATTACTCGGAAACACAGATATGAACGCTGCAGTACCTCACTACTGTGCCACGACCTTTTCAAAACTGCCATGTTTTTATTTTACTTTTTTTGGAGCGGTATATCCTCTTTCAAAAGAAACATCCTCTCATTGACACCTTTTGTGAGTTCATACGAAAAGATATCCAGCAGATGGAGCAATAGTGCCATTACAGTGTGTAAACCACATATAAGTTCACCGTGGTGGCATGTGTGGCAAAAGTGTGCACGTTGCTTGTGTCTGTCTTTTAAATGGTCTTTGCAACCATTAACAAATCGTTATAGGTTAGAATAGCATTGATTAAATGCATTTCTGCTGCTACAGGCAGAAATCCATACGTTCACCTGAAGAGTGACGGAGGCTGCAATCAGTTAAATGTATCCTGAAATGATTTACTAAAATTATCAAACAAACTGAAACACCCTAAACAAACTGTACAGGACTGAAAATAGAAAAATAACAATAAAGTAGACATTACTTCAGGGCCGTCCCTCCCTACAGGCCGATCATGCAGTTGCATGGGTCCTCACATTGCGCAGGGGGCCTCGCGCAGGGGGCCTCGGCTTATGAGCTCGGCTTGTGCGCAGTTCTCAGCGCAGTTCTCAGCGCACCCCCCCCCCCCCCCACACACACCCACCGTTGCAATGAATCGACATCTGACCAATCACGGCTTTGATACGGCCACTAGTGCAGGTGAAGAGATGTCGGCGAAAAGACAGTTTCAGTCCGAGATGCAGTTATTTCCAGCATTCTTTATTTACCATTCATTCAAGTATTGTATGCCTTTTATCTGCTAATGTACAGGAGGAAGAGTGATAAACTGTCTGTCTAGTTGGCTTACATAACAGTTAAAGTTTACAGCCTAAAAAACATGGAGCATTTTTTCCCCTTTTATTCATTTTTATGTCAATTTGCACATTTCATGGTGATGCTCAGCCTCTCCCCTTAACTCCTAACAGTCATCATCATGTCAACCACAACACAGAGAAATACTGACAGAAATGTGTGTGTAGTTGTTGATACATTGCTGACAGAGGGAACTACATTTGAATAGAGAAAGAAATATCAGTTTTTGAGCGTGTAATAA